TTAAAAAATGGGCCCAGGACCTGAACAGACCTTCTCTCAAGAAGACATACAAACGGCCAACAGATATATGAAAAAATGCTCAACACCACTCACTAATCATTAGGGAAGTGCAAATCAAAACCACAATGAGATATCACCTCACACCCTTTAGAATGGCTATCATCCACAAGACAAGAAATAACAAATGTTGGAGAGGCTGTGGAGAAAAAGGAGCCCTCATACACTGTTGGTGGGAATGTAAATTAGTGCAGCCACTATAGAAAATAGTATGGAGGGTCCTCAATAAATTCAGAATAGAATATGATCCAGCAATCCCTCTTCTGGGTATCTACCTGAAAATTTTGAAAATGTTTATTCATAAAGACATATGCACCCGTATGTTCATTGCAGTTTTATTCACAATAGCCAAGACATGGAAACAACCAAAGTGTCCTTTCATGGATGATTGGATATAGAAGATGTAGTACATATATACAATGGAATGTTACTCAGTCATAAATAAATAAATAAATAAATAAATAAATAAATAAATAAATAAATAAATAAATAAAATACTGCCATTTGCAACACCATGGATGGATCTTGAGAGTATCATGCTGAGCAAAATAAGTCAGACAGAAAAGGACAAGAACCATATGACCTCACTCACATGTAGGATATAAAACATAAAGCAACAAACAAAACGAAACACAAAAAAGCACTCATACACACAAACAACAGTTTAGTGTTTATCAGAGGGTAAAAAGGGGCCAAATATATAGTGGCAGAAGGAGACTAGACTTTGGGTGGTGAGTACACAATGCAATAAATAAATGAAGCATTATAGAATTGTACACTTGAAACTTATATAATGTATTAACCAATGTCACCTCAATAAATTTAATTTAAAAAGAAACTGATGGGTTTACTGATGATCAGTAAGGCTAGGATATGAACTGAGCAAAAATCATCTTGCAGTAACATTTTAAATTCTGTCTTGGAACTTCTGTCTCGGATCTCTTAACCTGTGACAACCAACATATTTATCTCTTAAAAAATGAAAATTCAACTGAGTAAATTTAAAGATCTAATTGGCTTTGTTGTACAATTTATGAGTCCGACAGCATACCATCTAGTAAATAGAAAGATGCTCCAAACTGTGCAAAATGGAAGATTTTATAGGCAGAATGAGGGTGGGAGAAGGAAATTTAAAAATCAGGCTATTTCAGGCAAGGTCACCTTCCCCTGGGGAAAGGCAGGGGCTCTTAAGCAGATGACCTCACTAATGCTAACCAGGAAATTCCAGTCCTGGGAGAGGCTGAAGCTGCAGATAGGTTGGGAGTTGGTGGGGCTCAGCACTGGTGACTCCATGTGGGGTCTGTTGTTCATTTTTACCACAGCTAAATGATGGAGTTTGGTTGTCAGTATCAGGCAAAGAATTAATAAGCTATGACATCTAGTTTGGAGTTAGACATTTTTATCTTTGAGAACAAGTAAGGGGGCGCTGGAGAAATTTGGACTTCCACCATTTTGGTTTTGTGCAACCCTAGGAAGTGTCGTATTTGTGCATCTCTGCAGTCTACTGAGTGAAAGGGGAGGAATTGGAGCGCAATGACATCTTGAGGAAATAAATCACAAATAGATGATCACTTTCTTGAATTGTAAGTGACATTGTGGTTTGTAAGCTAAAATGTAAACTGTTTACTGGCCTACATATTGGGCTTTTCCATTTTAGCTAAAGCGAGCGATCTCGGGTTATGATTGGAGTTCCATGAGAATCATTGTATTTTCACTTTAGAGAACGTAGCCCTGCATTATGCCTGAAGTCCCGTTTATACTTCACAGTAAACTTGACTCCATGTTCCTGATTTTTTTTCATAGCACTCCTCTCCCATCTACTTCCAACGAAATGTAAGCAAAAAGATGGTCATGAAGGGTCGCAGATTATGCCACCCCACAACGTGCCACTTTAGCATAAGGACTATTGTGAGCTGAAGGTAAATGAGAAGAAGCAGATACAAAAAAAGCTCTCTGCCCTCCCCCGATTTGCTTAAAAGCAGGACATAAATTTACAAAGAGGCCCCTTGTTTCTACCAGGAAAGACAAAGGTTAGTAGCTAGAGACAACCAAAATTCCTTATTAGTGGCATTATTCTTGTTATAGGTACCTGACTCTCATCACTCTTTTCACTTTTGAAAATGATGAGCAATTAATTACAACCTTGTCAAATCATTTGTCGTCTACATATAGTTATTTCATTTTCCTTTGACGCTTCCCAGGAAGCACCTGCTCCCGGGCCAGGCCCCTGATGGCAGGCCTGTCGCGTCCTTCCGGCTCTTCAGCCCGGTGAGCGCACGACGTCACAGACAACGGCGTGGCAGGTGCCCTTTACTCTTTTCTAAAACGTTGCGGGCGCTGCCCCGGAGCCAGTGGCGGCTCCTCACGTGAAGGACGCGCGCTGACCCAGCAGAGGGAGCCCTGCCTTGCTGGCGTCACTGAGCGCCCACTGTGTCGCAGGCAGGGACCTTGCTTACGTCATTGTGTGACCAGCATCGTTCATGTAGTTTCCATAGTGACCCCAGGCTTTTAGACAAGAGCCGTTGCCGGAGGGACAGTGGCGGGCGAGGACAGCGGCCGGTGCGGGAGGCTGTGCGCGCCGCGGTGGCCCCACGTGAGCCACGGGCAGGACGGGGACCGTCCAGAGGCTCCGGCCCCCCTGTCCCCACCGCGCACCCGCTTTGGTCACTCAAATCTCCACTCGCCAGCGGAACGGGCACATGTCACTGCGGGTCTGAGCTCCGCGACAGGGGCCAGGAAAAGACACACTGAACCCCGCCTCGCGAGGCCGCGGGGACCAAGCCTGCGACCGTCACGCCGTAAGGACAGTGCCCGCGGCAGCCGAGCGGCACTTCCTCCCCGAATCTCAAGTCGGCCACCACAGCTGCCTCCAGCTTTCCCAGTGACCCGAGGAGCCCTCTCGTCCGCTGTCCCGGCTCCCGAGCGCGCCTGCCCTGCTCCGAAAGAGCTCCCCACCCTAACTCTCCCACGCTCTCTTTTCGGGGAAAACAAAACAAAACACCGACAAATCAGTTCTCCCGGATGCGGTGACCTGAGGACGCTGCCCTTCAGATGTAAGCAGCTCCCACGGGTGACAATGGCAGTCGTGGTAAAAGGGTACAGCTCACAGTGGCCCGTACGGGGATCGAACCCGCGACCTTGGCGTTATTAGCACCACGCTCTAACCAACTGAGCTAACCGGCCAGCTGGAGTAGGCGGCCTATTCATACAACTATGTCCCAACAACGTCAGCGCGCTTTCGTTTTCACAAGGTTAAGTAAGAAATGTTCTCTTTTCTATAAAGAAAAACCTCAGCTGCCAGCACGGATGAATGTGCTTCTTCTGGGAAAGCGTGGTCTCTCCCAAACTGACCGAGAAGACGCGGGTACACGTCCCGGCGCGGGCGGTCGAGGTCCCGCTACCTGAGCCCGCAGCTGCGCGTTAGGACGCCGGGGCCGCGGTGTCACGGGTCCAGAGCTGCAGTGCCGGCGTCCGACACGTGGTGGCGCCCGAGTGCGGGAGGGTCAGCGGCCCCGGAACACCCCGAGCCCCGAGCAGGGTTGCTCGGAGTCAGGGCGGTTGTCTGGGAAATTGTTCCAATGTGGCGACCACTAGACTCCCTAGACTATGAATTCTGGGGAACCGGCAGAGACTTTTGTTGAACCCCAGAGGAAAAATGTCTTGAAATTAGATAATGGTGATGGTTGCACAGCTCTGTGAATATATACTAAAAACCACAGAACTGTACACTTTTAAACGGTGACTTCACTTCTATGGTATATGAATTATATCTTAATTTTTAAAAATCAAAGAAGCAGTCAAAGGAAATTTGAACAGTATTTTTTTAGTCACTAATTTTACTCCATTGGGCAGGTTTCTCTGCTGTCCCTGAGCGTCGGCCCTGGAGGAAAAAGAAAATACATCAAACTGGAGAAATAGTGAATCAAGACAGATGCGACTGGACAGACGGAATCACAGCGTCCCCCTTAGGCGCTCGGTTGGGTGGTTCAGCCCCGACCTCCCGGCACAGCTCCTATCTCCCCAAGAGCAGGCGACCCCTCCAAAGACGGACGCTAAGGCCCTTCAGAGTCGAGAGGGACCCGAACAGAAATTAAACCTGCAGGAAGAGGTCGCGGTACTGAGGCAGGCAGGGCGACACTCTGGGCAGCCTCCTCTCCAGCTGTCCCGGTGACCACAAGCCAGGCCGAGTGGAGCAAACAAGCAAAAGAGACCTTCATTTGTGGGTAAACAGAAGTTGACTGACGCTGGACAATGCGCTGGGAGGGATGTTGGGAATTTAAACAGTGAACCTGCCGCGTGTCCAGATCTCGTTTGACCCCGCGGTCGGTTGGGCTGAATCAAAAGGAGGGGAGGGAGTGAAGAATGGTCCAAAGGATTTGGAGCTTCCTAAAGTAAATGCTTCTCAGGTTGTATCGCGCAGGAGAATCACTGGGAAGGAGTACCGAACCCTGTTTTCTGGGTCTCACCCCCAGAGATTCCATTGGTTCTGGGGTGCAGCCCACAGATGTTTAGGGAGGCCGTACACGTGCTGTCCCGTCACTCAGAAGGCGGCATTGGAGAGGTGCCTTGTAGGGTTTGTTACCCGATTTTCACAGCTAACACCTGCAGGGAGCTTCCAAGGTAGAAGGCAAGACAGGGTGTCCACAGAGATAAAACTCACCGTCAGCGTTATTCCCCTTTCCACCAGGCTTTAATCAAGCAAGCCCACCTTTTGTACTCTCAAGGTTTTTGCTTTTCTCCTTCATAACTGTGTGAATTTTGTTGAATGCAGATGGCTACATAAAGACCAGGTTCCTAGAGCAGCTCCCTGTGAACCACATTTTCTGCCACAACTTGGAGGAGAATCTTCCCATATCTTGAAACTGAAGGAACGATTCTATGGCTCTAAATTCCTTAAAGTTGACTTTCAAATAAATTCTGTTGTCTTCTAAATGTGTAAATGCCTGCAGCCAATTTTTTAATTTTTGGTGGTTGGTTTCCATAAGATAAGCTATATGTTTATTCAGGTTTCCCCAACCCTGGCTTAAAACAAACCTTTCCTTGTGTATCACACTAGTCTGTTGGCCATTTTGTTTTCAAATTTTTGCTGCTACACTCTACTTTCCTATTCTTGTTCTTTTGTGTTTATGCCATAACAACACCCCTTTCTTTCTTTGTTAGTGGGTTATTGGGTAGGGAGACGTCAAGTGAATGTCTTTACTATGTTGTCATTGTAAGTAGGTCTGTCTTTGACTTACTATAATTTCTCATCATGCTGACACCCAGAGCATTAGTAAAACAGTGTAGCAGGGAATGAACAGGATGAGTCGTTTACGCTCAGATTAAAATTCTAGATGCTGGCTTCCACCCAAAACATAACCTTCTGTGAACCCACAAGAGAGCAGAGGTCTCAGAGCAACTAAATAGTTTGAAATCTAAGGAAAAACAGGTGCTTCCAAGTAGTTAGGTATACCAGAAGACAATGGAATGACATTTTAAAGTGCTGAGAGACCAGTTAAAACAAAAACAAACCTATTAATCCAGAATTCCTTACCAAGCAAAAAATACTTTCCAAAAATGAAGACAAAATAAAGATATTTTCAAACAAACAAAAACTGAAGAGTTTATTACTAGCAGACCTACATAATAGAAAATGTTATGAGTTCTTCAGGATGAAGGAATATGAGGCCAGAGATACACGAAAGAATTAATATCTACAGAAATGGTTACAATGTAGATACAAATAAAGAATTTTCCCAATTTTAGTTATTCTAAAAATAATTGATTGCATAAAGCAAAAGCAGTAGTGACAAGCTGTACAATCATAAAGTACGTGAAAGCAGAATGTAGGACAACAACACAAAATACGGGAGGGACTATACTGTTGCAAGCTTCTCACATTACACAGGAAGCAGCACAATATTATTTGAAGGCAGACTGATTAATTGTAGCTGTATATAGAAAATTCTAGAGAAAGCACTTGTTTTTTTTAAAGACATAAATATAAGACAATAGTGGAGATAAAATTAAATCATGAAAAATACTCAAATTTCAAAGACAGAAAGATAAAAGAATGGAACGAAACAAAAGGAACACATAGAAAACAGCTAACAGAATGGAAGATTTTAATACAATTATGTCAATAATTATATTTTATGTAAATTATCTAAATCCATCAATTATAGACAGTTGTCAGATTGAAAAAGGAAACTAAAACCCAACAACTGATAAAGCCAACCTACCGGGAGTGGGGTTCGAACCCACGCGGACCTACGTCCATTGGATCTTAAGTCCAACGCCTTAACCACTCGGCCATCCCGGTGGCGCACAAAGGGCCTATAATTAGGTCTTACAGGGTTAGAATTAATTAGAATTGCTAGTTCTGGAACATTATGGACAATAAGCTTGTGAAGCCATTTGCCCCTTAGGCAACAGAGAAGATTCTTCGGTACTCTGCATTCCCTGGGTAGGCAAAACAAAGTGAGCCCAACCTGCCCTGGAAAGATGGCTCTTCAGTGATGCCCATTGTCCACAAAGTCTGAGGCTCTGGTAGGTTGTTCTGGAAGCAATGCCAAGTCATGCTCATCCCAGGGGCGGGAGGTTGTCAGGGGGAGTGTTGTCTTTTAGAGAAGTGCTCAGCAAAGAAAACTGAGGACCATTCACCAATAGCTAAAAGTACATGTGGGTAGTCAGTTTACAGCTCTTTAAAAATTCATCTTAAAATACTGGCCCTCTTCGTTCATTTACACAAAAGCCAAGAGGTCTTTGGATCGAAATGGGAAAAGTCAAGTTCATCTTGAAACAGTCAATTCTTCCCCACGGATCACATTCAGATTAAGTCTAAATTCCATCCTGTGCAGGGTCTTCCTTTAGCTCCCCGCTCCAGCACGTGTGAGTTCAGCGGAATGAATTTCCACGAGGAAAAGGCAGGAATAAAGGCGCGCTCTGGTCACCGCTGCCGTCCGGGCTCTTCATACGCCATTCTCCCGCCAGTCCTTGTTCACCCCAGTGCAGGACTCGCCTCTCCATTCCACCGCCCTTCAAGAACCTCACGTTTGTTTGTTTGTTTGTTTGTTTGTTTGTTTGTTTGTTTTCAACTAAGTCACATCAGTAGCCCTAGCAAGTATTTCCTGACTTTAAGACTGGAGGGGTGAGAAACCCTGTAACTTTCACAGCTGTCACTCATGCAGCAGTTTCATTGTAACTAAATCACTACGTGCAAACAGCATTGCGTCAGCTTAGGGACCCTTCCCTCCTTCGAGCCTGTCAGTTCCTTTAGGGCTTCGGGTACCTCCAGCGACCTGAAGGGGACTGGGTTCCAATAATTTCTTTAGAATAAACGTGACACCAGATTGCTGAGAAAAGTTAACGCATGTATGCGTTAATGTAATAGCCGTTTTATCTCGCCGATCCCATCTCAAGACAAAAAAGGAGGCTGGAGACTGCGGAGGAGAAACCTGCCGTATCCTCCGCTGTCCCCACTATATGATCAGGTCATGTTCGGCTGCCTCAGAGGGAGCCAGTCTGTGACCTCCAAAGGCCACCAGCCTCTCCTGTCACTGTTTCTCACCGCGACTTTGGGGACAAGCACCTTTTCTCTGCTGGGCGCCATCTGAGGTTCAGTCTTAAAACCTAGTGGGAGGCAGATGGCTTCCAGTCCCCGGAATAAACCGTGGAAATGGGGTGGATAATGTGGTTCAGCGAGGTGAACCACAAAGGTCACCTTCCTGGTCTGACACTTACCGGGCATCAGATACGAGTGTTCACGTCCCAGAGCAGTGACATGAGTGGCACAGAACTTGGACGTCGTGTAAACCGATCGCCAGCCTCCCTTTCACACACCTCGGGCCGTCGCCGGCCCACGCGGCCCCGTTTGCCCCCGCCCCAGCCGCTCAGCCTTTGTCCGCGGAGCTCCGCCAGTCGGTCCAGCTCCGAAAGGGTAGTTTCAGTCATGGAGAGATCAGGGAAACGAGCGCAAGATACACCTAGACATTTCTTGAAATGGAATGTCCCAGGAGCCTGAGCTCCCCTGCCCGGTGCTTGTACTGTCGCTGGGACTCTGGGCGCAGCACGTGCAGTGTCATCAGCTCAGGTGTCATCAACTGCAAGGATCGGAAAGTGTGGAGGGAAAACAGCACCTCAACAGAAAAAGTAGCCTGAAGAAAAAGAGAGGCAAGGTTAATTTAAAGTAATCTAGAATGCTCGAAAACAACCGCGGATCTGCGTGTTTCCGTAGTGTAGTGGTTATCACATTCGCCTAACACGCGAAAGGTCCCCGGTTCGAAACCGGGCGGAAACAGCTGTTTACTGTTCCCCGTAAGCAAATTCTGAGTTTTGTTCCAGAAATTTTCTATCTGAACCTGCTTATATTTCCACCAAGTTTCAAATCTTCGCGCTTCCTTTGCAACCCCAGAGTTGAAATTACAAGAATTATATAACAAGACCTAGTCTCTGGTAATCTTGTACTCCGTCCATTGGGTAGAGAAGGTGCTGTGGTGGCTGCCCTTAGGAGGTGTCTCCACCCACCCTGAGCAGGACAGAGAGTGAATAGCCAGCCCTGGGACAGGATGTGGCTGATGCTCAGAGGACGGAGAAGCCACTGAAGCTGCACAGGGTGAGTCCAGTAGGCTGAGGTGGCAAAATAGAGGGGACACAGCACGTGGAGCCCTGAGTCAATCTAAAAAAGGAAGAAATAAAGAAAAAATTTTCAATCAATTTAATCTATCATTGATAATCTTTTGTGAACATACTTTTGCAAGACAACCAATCACTGTCAGCTTCTGCGTCCTAAAAGTCAGCCAATCAGAGGTGGACTCACTTCAGTGAACGCGCTTTGAGTGCCAAACACACAACATCTCTCACAAGTAAGCGCGCGACCACGGTCCCGGCAGCCCGCTCAGACAGCCTCTGAAAGTCCTTGACTCCCTGAGCCCCCCAGACATCAGCCATGGGCTCTCTGGGATGCATACCAGCATCGCTGTCTCCTTAAATGAGCTCTGGCTTTGGTTTAATTGCCCTTTGAAAATGCCCCTTTGCCAAATCTGAAACTATGAAATGTCATTCTTTTGGCTGGGGTTGTATTTGTCTCTAATCTTCCACTTCTGAAATTCTTGTGTATAAATGTGGCCTTTACAAGCATATTGTTTTGTCATAATGGTCACTTTGGTAGGCTTTAGTTCTTTATATTGGTGTATTAATCAGATTCGCAAACAAAATCTCAAATTCTGAAAACACTTAGATTCGCTCCACAAATATTTACCCAACGCGGACTTTGTGCTGAGAACTGTCCTTGGTCCTGAAAATCCAGAAGAAACTAAATGTATCCCCGTGGACAGAAATTCTGGTGGAAGCCTACCGATAATTAAAGGAGAGGGGAGGTGGGGGGGGGACAGAAAAAATGTTCATTGAGTCCGATTGTGATGATTTTAACAATAAGCAATATCGATTTCAATAGTGCTGAAAAGGCAATGCGGAGGATGAGGAGACAGCCAGGTAGATGAAGCACAAACGGCCACACACAGACTCGGGACAAGGAAATCGTGGCGCTCAGGTGATCAGCGGTCACCAGACACACCTCACGTCTGGTGCCACCGCTACTTTCCACCCTCATTTTCTTTACTAAAATCTTTCTTTGAAGGTTTTATGCCACTTTTTCCACGAGTCATTTTATATATTTTTTCCCACCTTCGAAGAGGAGGACAAAGAAGGTAGGTGTCACTGCTGAGGATTAAGAAATGAAATCAATATTTAATCGGGAAAAGTGAGTTTCTTGTGGCCCGTACGGGGATCAAACCCGCGACCTTAGAGTTATAATCACCATGCTCTAGCCAACTGAGCTAACTGGCCACCTTGTAGAGCCTCTTTTTATTGAAAAATAAATAAATAAATAAAAAGTTCGCCAACGTTCTTATGTTTTTTTAAATCAAAAGGAAATCTCCCCCCACCTGTTTCCAAAGGCGATACCGTCGCCTAGCTCATTTTAACCACCACCGAGTAACACTGTTTCTCCGAGTTTCTCTTCACGTTTCCACTTCCCTTTCTGCGCTCCCACGTAAAGGAAAAGAAAAAGTGAGCTTCGCCTCTTCCACGGCAAACAGGGAGAAAGTGCAGAAAAAAGTGGTGAGATTGTGGATCAGACGAGTTGGGGGATTGAGGAGGAGCATACAGAGGAGGGACTGGAAAATAACACGGGGTGGGGGGCAGGGGACAGAGAAAGAAACTGACATGGAGAGGAGACGGATGGAGGACTAAGGAACAAAGGGAAGGAGAGACTAAGTGTGGGTAACTGAGGGCCAGGAGATGTGCAGAGGGGCAGGTAGACTGGGAGTCAGCCGGCTAGAGGGCGTCCGGAGGTAGAGAGGGGCCGACCAAAGGACGGGAGGGGGGAGGGAGACTGAGGCACAGAGAAAGGGAGGTCAGGGGATGAGAGGGGAGGAAATCAGGAGCAGAGAGAAGAAATTGGACCGGTGCAGCCTCAGCAGCCTCTGTACACAGACTCCGCGTCCCTGTCCCTGCCCCGCATCAGCGGCTCCTACAGACGCTTGACCAGGCCAGAGAGAAGCGTCTGAAAGGAAACCTGAGCTCCTGGTCACAGGCTATAAATCTAATGCCCAGCCCTGGGGACGCGATGGAAGAGCCTAGCGCCCTGCAGAGGACTGGATAGCATGGCTGTGGGGCCTGCCCTGTGGCTGGGCACTCTGCTCCTCATTTCCCTCTGGGGGGCCTCAGCTCCAGGTAATAGGGGTCTGAGGATCAGGTAGAGGCTCCTGGGGGGCCTGCTTGACTCCTTCCTTTCCGCATCCCACAGCTTCCCTTCTTAGGCGCCTAGGAGAGCACATTCGGCAGCTTCAGGAGAGCTCTATCCTGGGCCTGAGTCTGGGTCCAGAGGCTGCAGCCCTCCCAAAAGAGGGGTGGCTGGAGCAGCCACTGGACCCCTTCAACACATCTGACAGACGGTCCTTCCTACAGGTGAGGCCAGGAGAGCGGGAGTCCACAGCCTACCCTGCCCTCTCATGTCCCTGTTCTGTCCCTCAACCTCTGTGTTCTTCCTGTCTCCCCACCTCTGTGCCCCTCAGTGTCACCCTGTGCTTGCTGTCAGTATCCCTTATGGCCTTCATTCCAACCCCCCACCGTTTCTTAGATTTGCCTTCAATCCCCTATTCCCGTCTCTCCTCAGTCGCCCACTTTTTTTGTCCCTCAGATCCTGTCCTTCAGGCTTTCCTTCTACCTCTCTCTCTCTCTCTCTCTCTCTCTCTCTCTCTCTCTCTCTCTCTCTCTCTCTCTCTCTCTCTCATTCTCTCTCTCTCTTCCCCCCAGGCCCTCTTCTCCCTGTCCTTGAGATTAAACACTAAACCTACCACCGGGTCTCAGTGTGTAGCAGAGATTTGGAAATAGCATTGGCTTACAACTGGTACTTGAAGATACCTATAGAATGAATGAACAAATTCGCCATCTTCACACCTACTATGTAGAGTCTCCAAAGGTCATCTCACCTGGACCCTGTTCCTAAATCCACCTGCATCTGTTACTTACGCTACAATTATTATCCCAACATACAGCAAGTGCCTACCAGGGGCTCGCCACTATCCTTGACCCTGGGGATGTAAACGAGACAAGGTTGGCAAAAATATCTGCCCTCGTAGGTCTTGCATTCTAGGTGAGGAGACAAACAGGAGAGAAATGAACACATACATAAACAAGCCTATCTCAGATACTACTAAGTAGAAAGAAAGACCCATTGGGGAGAGAGACTGGAACAAACAAGAAATAAAGAACAGGTCAGAACTCTCACCATCCCATTTTTTCTTCCTCACCCTACTTTTCAGCGGTACTGGGTAAATGACCAGCATTGGGCCAGCCGGGATGGACCCGTGTTCCTATATCTTGGGGGTGAGGGCAGCCTCGGACCCGGCTCAGTGATGAGAGGTAAGAAGCAAGGCTGGGAAAGACAGCTGGGAGGGGGGGCTGCATGCTGCTGTGCTGGGAGACCAGAGGGTGACAAGGGCTTCCACCCAACTGTACCCCTCTTCATACTCTTCACAGGGCACCCTGCAGCCCTGGCCCCAGCCTGGGGGGCCCTGGTGATTGGCCTGGAACACAGGTTCTATGGCCTGAGTGTGCCTGCTGGGGGCCTGGACAGGGCCCAGCTCCGCTTCCTGTCCAGCCGCCATGCGTGAGTGGGACTGGGAAAGTGTTTAGGGTCATGGGACTAACGATGTCTGTGTCTTGGCATCTTTGCCTCTGTGTCTCTCTCCTTCACTGCCCGAAGTTGACCTTGAGTCTCTGGCTCATGTTTTCTTCAGCCTTATTCTTTCTGCCTCCATCTCTGGGTCTCTGTCCCTCCCTCTTTATTTCTCTTACACTGGATTCTGCCCTGTCCTGTCTCACTATGGCTACTGGTCCAGACCACCATGTCTTTTACCTGGATGACACAGCCTCCTCACTGTTCTCTGTTTCTGCACTTCACCCCAGCAGTCTATTCTCCAGATGAAGTCAGAGTGATTATTGGAGCATAAGCCAGATCACCACTCACCCTCCCTCAAATCTCTCCCATCTCTTATCTCATCCAGCATACAGTCAACTCTTTACAGTGGCCACAAGGCCAGACTGGTTCTGGCTCCCAGTTAACTCTCTGACCTCCACTTTCTCACCCTCACTGGGCCCCAGCTGCACTGACGTCCTTGCTGTTCTCCAGCCTCAGAGGCACACTGCCAGCTTGAGCCTCTGAGCCCTTCCCTCTGCACGGAGTGGGCTCCCCCCAGATGTGTGCATGGCTCCCTCCCTTGCCCCCTCCATGTCTCCTGTTCCTGTTGACAACCCCACTGCTTCTTCCCCCTCACCTGCTTTTTGTTCTCCACAGCACTTGTCTCATCCTCTACTTCTTGGTGTCTCTGTATCTGTTTGTGATCCTCTGTCCCTTTCTCTCTCTCACTCTGGTCTCCATCTCTCTGTGTCCATCTGTATCTGCCTCTCTGTTACTCCCTGTCTCTCAATATTTTCACAACCTAAACTGGTTTCCAACTGCAGTAGGATGGCACTGTTGGCAACCCGTTTCGGAATGGCTGGGGAAGAAATAAAGCATTTAGGATAGAAAAGAGGATGTTAGGCATATCCCAACATCTCTTGTTCTCTCGGATTGTCTCCCCCTCCACCGGTGCCCTAACCTATCCAGCCCAGGACCGCTCCTCTTCCTGAGCAGCTCTTCTTGATTGACCCCCACCTCTCCTATATTAGTCGGGATCCCGCCTAAACTGCCTTGGGGAATTTTCCTCTCGCACCTAATCTGCAAGGGAAGGAGGGTGGAGGCTTCCCAGAGGGTTTCCCCTGGCCCAGGCACACATGAGGAAATGGATGTGGGGATGGAGTCCTCAGGAAGAGCTCATAAGGGCCAGGCTCCCTGTGCACGTCTCTGGATCCCTGCCTGCACAGAGGGGGGACCTTCAGAGATCCCAGCGATGACCAACCAGACTCCCCTTGACCCCAGGCTGGCCGATGTGGTCTCCGCCCGCCTCGCGCTCTCCCGCCTCCTCAACGTCTCCTCCTCCAGCCCTTGGGTCTGCTTCGGAGGCTCTTATGCCGGCTCCCTGGCCGCCTGGGCACGGCTGAAGGTCCCGGGGCTCCTGGGCAGGGTGGGGGATGGGGAGCTTGATCTCGGGGTCCCTACCTCAGGGGATAGGAACACCCTCCTCCCCAAGGGCTTTCCACAGCTGTCTTCACAAGGGTCCGGTGTACAGAGGGAGGGACTGGCCTAGGAGTGAGTGGCACAGTGTGGGAGATCAGGGGTCCCAGCCCTCGGCCCAACTGACGACTTCTCCTCCTTAGTTCCCGCATCTCATCTTCGCAGCGGTCGCCTCCTCCGCCCCGGTGCGGGCTGTGCTGGACTTCTCCGCGTACAACGAGGTAAAGGAGGAGGTGGGGTCGGGAGGAGCAGGGTCTCAGCGGTCGGGGTTCCTGATGCGCCTCTTGTCCCGCCGTCGCACCACAGGTGGTGTCCAGGAGCCTCACGAGCGCGGCGATCGGCGGGTCCCCGGAGGTAGGAGTAGGGCCAGTCCGAGGGGGCTGGGGAGGAGAGAAGGCCTTCAAGTTGGGGCCAGAGGAAAGCGAGCAACCTGCAAGGTGGCGGGGTCTGGGGAAGTGGGAGCCCAGAAAGGTGGACGGATCCTGGAAGAACGTTGGAGCTGAGGATGGGTCCGAGCATCCAAGTGAGGAGTCCCAACAGGGGCGGGGCCTGAGGAGGGGCGACCCTATCAGGAGGGGAGGATCAGTGTGGGGCGGGGCATAGGGCGGGGCGACCCTATCCGGAGGGGAGGATCGGAGTGGGGCGGGGCCTGGGGGAAGACCCGGGGAAGGAGCGGAAGAGAGCAGAGGCTCTGTCGGGAGGAGTTCGACAGAGGAGGCTCGGGCTCGGGGAGGTGAGGAGCCCAGGAGGATGCTGGCTCTGGAAGGGACAGGTCGGGCCCGGGCCCTGGTTTCCGCCGACGCTGCGTCTCCTTCTTCCCCGCAGTGCCGGACGGCGGCGTCCATAGCCTTCACAGAGGTGGAGAGGCGGCTGCGCGCGGGCGGAGCGGCCCGGGCGGCGCTGAGGAAGGAGCTGGGCGCATGCGCGTCCTTGGGCCGCTCGGAGGACCGGGCGGAGCTGCTGGGGGCGCTGCAGGCGCTGGTGGGAGGCGCAGTGCAGTACGACGGTCAGGCGGGGACGCCGCTGAGCGTGCGACAGCTCTGTGGCCTCCTCCAGGGCAGGGGCAATGGCAGCCGCCCCACGCCCTACCGCGGGCTGCGTCAGGCAGTGCAGGTGCGCTCCCCTGAGCCCGAGGGAGGGCCAGCTGACAAGGGTCCCTGCTCCACCTCCGCTGTGCGATCTTGGGCAGGCTAAACCCTTTCTGAGCTTTAGTTTCCTATTTGTCAAATGAGGATGACACCCCACAGGGCCCCCGGGAGATGAAATGAAGGGAGGCGTGTGATGCGCTCCCCAGGGAGCCGGGCACACACCATGCACAATTAGAGGTTATGCTATCTATTGTGCCTGTCTTGTTCTGTCCTCTGCCTGCGGTCTGCGTCCGTGTCTGGCGCACAGCAAGGACTTAACTAGTATTTGTAGAATGAATGAAAACATAGGTAGTCCTGGAGACCGGGACCCCCATCTTGGGAATTCACAGTTGCAATCCAGCTGTCAACTTCTACCGCGCCGCTTGCATCAGGTGCTGTGCAAGGTACTTCACATATAATATTTCACTGAATTCTGACAATAGTTCTAGGACATAGACACTATTATTGTCCCCACTTACAGATGAAGAAACTGAAGTCTAAAATATCACTTTCCCAAGGTCTCTCAGGTGATAAGGTCCGTCATTTAGTACCTTAACCTCTAACCCACGCAGACCAGGCACCCACCCCCTCTGACCCCTGACTCCCAGGACAACTCAGGTATTCTCTCTTCTGACTTCTGCCTCTGACTTGTGGGGATCTATGCTTCCAGGACCTGGCTTGCTGGGGGGAAAGGAGGAATTTATAAATGTATGTATATATGTATGTATGCTGTCCCCTAGGTTGTTATACACAGACTTGGCCAGAGGTGTTTAAGCTTTTCCCGAGCAGAGACAGTGGCACAGCTGAGGGTCACTGAACCCCAAATGCCCGGCGTGGGTGACCGGCAGTGGTTGTACCAGACATGTACTGAGTTCGGCTTCTGTGAGTGACTGGCCCAACCCTCACCCCTGTTAACCTGAAAATCAAAAGGCCTTTCAGGCTGAGACGCAACAAGCATTTATTTGAGATCAATAAGAATAGCTATTTGGGAAACAGCGATTTAGGCAGAAGCCCTAATAGTGTTCCAATGTGGAGACAAAGGCAGTGGGTATTTATGAGAAGGGGAAGGGGAACAGTTCCAATACTAAAAGAAAGGCATTGCTATTGGTGCAGATAAGCGAACATAGTGGTGCTAACTCCAAACAATGATTTTAATTTTCAGTCCGGTAGTCATTAGTCCAGTAGTCATCTTATCTGCTTTCTAGTTATCTTTGCAAACAGTTCTTTGGGACATAGTATTGCTTTAGGCCGAATCTGAAGGTTATCTTGCCCTGTTTCAGCATCCCAAAGGTGGAGATGTAAGACGTGCAAGGCAGTTCCTCTGGGATGGCAGCCCTGGCTCCGTTTATATTATTTTTACATTTTCCCCCCTTTTGACTAAGACCTTTCCTTGAAAGCATTGCTGATCAACCACTGGAAAGCAGCACTGATGGGTTATTAAAGCATCATTTCAGATGGCTCATTTTGGGTATGCCATGCCTGTATGAGTCCCTGGTCACCAGGAAGGCTCAGCCCTGGTGTGGCATGTCCCATGTAGGAAGGAAAGTGGTTTCCTAGGGACTTTGGGCCACATCTGAGCAACAAAAGTGCCAGCGCAGAGGAAGGCTTTGCTGTCATGTTTCCTTCAGGGCAAACACCTTCTGCAGTTTCTGGAGGTTTCTCAAATGAAGTCTCGTGGGCCTCACTGATCATCTCAAAGTGTTGAGTAGCCATTATCAGAGTGGTGTCTTTATAACACTGGGCTGTGTAAAAGAAAGATTTATAACAGCAAAAACTTCTATAATAACAAACAAAATGTCAAGTCCAATGTGAAGAATAGACCTGATCCAGGAGGAAATAACTGAGGGCAGTTAGCTGAAGATATTAAAGAGCCACAAGGTGTCAGGGGGCAGTGTATGCTATCATTTGGTTTGTGCCCAGATGTTATCTAGTTCCATCTTTAAATTACCAGAGGTGTTTCATCCAAGTACATGAGGAGGTATTAACAACAGAACAAACCCCACTTCGCTCAGCTAGGATATGGTCAAGAATAATTCTATTGTCTGATATAAGTCACATAAGGAAATTTAAAGATTTTTCCTATTTGACTATTGCTGTGTTAGTCATTGTAATACCTGCCCAAGGAAAGAGTATTCTTTCAAGCCTGGTACCTTTAGTGGAGGTGACATCCCCAGGCATTAAACATTCTTGATTGTGTGTGTAACCAGTTGTACATTTGGACCTGTGAAATAGGTTTAAAGATGATGCCCAATGCTGACTTATCTTCCCAGTCAGAAATAGGGAGGAAAGAAAGCAATAACTATTATAGCGAGTGCTTGGCCTCTCATATTTTTTGTGAGATGGATAGGAACTAAAGTAAGGGGGAGAAAGAAAACAGGAAACATGCAGATGTAGGTTACACAGGCCTGGTCCAGAATCCTGGGTTAGCTGTCCACAGCAGATGTTGTCTGCTTCACTTCCTAGAAATTTTAATTTTAAACATTCTGTTGGTGGAGCAGTCCAGTTAGGTGTGAGAGCTTTCTTTAAACTGGGAAACACGAATACCCTATTTTTAATATACAGTCATTTTATCCTTATTAATTCCCCGTCTCAGCCCTGAGCATTCTGGGCCATCGCTGTCTGGGATGGGGAGTGTGTCTCTGACAGGGAGGGTCTGGAGCTGTCTCGGTCATCACTGGAGAGATCTCTATACATGACTATTAAAGGAGAGTGGGGGGTTGGGTTTATACCCCACATTTATGGATATCTCCCTCCACAGATGTCACCTGTGAGGACCCCGGATGTCCTTTCTCTCAGCTCCCAGCACTGCCCTCCCAGCTAGAGCTGTGTGAGCAGGTGTTTGGGCTCTCAGCCTCATCCATAGCCCAGGCTGTGGCCCAGACGAACTCCTACTATGGTGGCCAGAGCCCAGGGGCCACCCAAGTGCTGTTCGTGAATGGTGAGCATGCCATCAGAACCTGGCGCCTGAGTCTTCACCTCGCCAGTCAGCACACCATTCTCTCCTTTCTTCCAGGGGATGCAGACCCCTGGCATGTGCTAAGTGTAACACAGGCCTTGGGATCCTCCGTGTCAGCCCTTCTCATCCCTGGTGCCTCCCACTGCATGGATATGGCCCCTGAGAGGTCCTCCGACTCCCCCAGCCTCCGCCTAGGGCGCCAGGTAAGAGAGAAAAAGCTCTGGGTGATTTGCATGGTCATTTGCATGCTAATTTGCATGTTCCTGCCATCTACTAGCCTGGGGTCTGACTTTCAGAACTCTCCCCACCTCTCCACAGAGCATCTTCCAGCAGCTGCAGACCTGGCTCAGGCAGGCAAAGGAGAGCCCAGACAGGGGCGGGGTCTGAGCCACACACTCTGGCCACTGCTGGCAAGGCCACTGCAGCCCTGGACGCACTCGTTCACTGGACAGGAGGAAGCAGCTGGTATTCACAGGGGAGATTTCCAGGAATTGGGATTCAGCACCTGTCCTACGTGTCATTGACTTGCAACTGCAAATGTCCTCACTGCCAACGGACAGTGCTCTGTTACCGACAAAGGGGTCTGCAAATTCAAGTGGATGATGATTCTCTCTGTGAATGCTGGTGTTTTAATATCAAAGAATAGTTACTTGGGAAACTGATTTAAGCAGGAGCCCAAATAGTGTTCCAGCGGTGGTGTCTCTTCGTGCTGGTGCCCTCCCCCTAGACGGTACCGGCTCACGCTCTGCTCAGCTCCTGGGCTGGGCCCTCCCTGTGTCTGTCTGGACCTCAGACCCTGATGCATCTGCTTCTTACCCTTTCTCTCGCTGTGCCCCTCCCTCGGTCTCTTATTCTCTGCCCCACCCCTGTCTCTATTTGCCCCTCAGTCTCCTGTTTCTCCAGATGCCTGTGTTCCTGTCTCTGTGTCTCCTCCGCTTCTCTTTATTTCTCCACCCTGTCTCTCTCTCTCTCTCTCTCTCTCTCAATGTCTTTCTACGCTCCTCCTCTCTCACTTGATCGTTCCTTGATTGGCTGCACTGCTGTTTCTGCCTTTCCTTTCTGGTCTCTCTGTCACTTCAGGCACTTTCTCTCTCACTCTGACCCTGCCTGTACTTCCCTCTGTCAGACTTCCCTTGTCCTCCTCCTCAATCTCTCTGTCTCCCCCAGGCTCTCTCTGTTTCTGTCTCTTACACTCTTCCTCACTGCCTCTATTTCTCTTCCTGTCACTTAATCTTTTCTTTCTCTGTCTCTCTTTTAGTCGTCCATACAAACCTGTCACACACCATCTTTTCCCACAAATAACTTGATCTAAATTTGATAAATCATGCATAGGAGCAAATAGAGAAGTGACAATGAGCAAGAGACTCGTGCCCAAGTTGAAATACAGTATAGTAATTGGGCAGCAGTCAAGAAAAATGTCTTTCTTTTCACTGTAAAGAAAATATAAAACCGTAACCAGAGACAAGTGTGCATTCTATTCATTGGAAGCTATAACGCTGGTCCATTGGAAAGTAACAGTAAACTTGTCACCTCTTCCCTGGCAAGAAGGGAGACAAATTTGCCTATCTTTTAAAATGAATGAGAGGTACAGGTTTTGAAAAAAAGGGAAAATAAAATGCTTAGCAATTTATAAAGACTTAGGTGAAGAGCGTCAGTGCATTTTAGGAGAGGACAAACTAGGAGGTGCATCTGTGAATGGACTTTCTTCGCCATGTCTTCTGCCTGAGATCTGGGAGAACAGAACTGAGTGTTGCAGAAACAACCATGACTGAGGATGGCCCACACCCACCGAGCTCCGGGACACGGGCCAGCATGCACCCGTGGTGCCACCCCACTAGTCGGTTTGTGCCATGAACCACTTTCCCTTCCTGTGAATGGCATCGGCTACCTCATATTCCCTTGTCTAGATAGATTGTGATCTGTTTAAAATACAGGATCCTACTTAGCAATAAGAATAAACTTCTAAGAATCATTGTACATGTAATGACACAAATAAATCTCAGAAATCTCGTGCTGGGCAAAAAGCGCCACAGAATAGAATGTGCTACATGATTCCACATATATGAAGTTCAGGGGCAGCAAACTACCTGGTGAAGAAGTCAGAGCAGCAATCAGCTTGCAGGGTGAAGGAGTATAGGAGACCTTTCTGGAGTAATGGGCAGCTCTCAATCTTGGTCCAGGCCGTGGTGGCATGGGAGTAAACATATAAGTTTAACTGAGCTTTGTCTACGCTTGAGATCTTTGCATGTTACTGTATGTAAAAATATACTTCAATAAAGTACTAAAAAGGGAGACCGCAGAGATGTAGTCACCCAGGTCAGAAGGGAGGGAGGGAAGAATGAAAATGAAAGGACATGGAAGATTCAACACGTGCCTCCAGGCCAAAGACCAGGGACCTCTTCAGCTTGAACATCTACCTGGAGCCTGTCACTTTAAATGGTCTGTTACCTGCCTCACCCAGGAAGAGCACAATGATAACACCAACATGGGCCAGTGAAGCCACGTCCTCCACAACTAGACTGAAGAACAAAACGACAGCAACTTGTCTGTTCCCCTTCCCCCGATTCCCCAATAAAATCTTTAAATAAATAAATGGTCTGTTACCTGATGACGTGGCCCCTCACTCCCTGAATGGGTATAATCTCTTGTGAAACGTCAGGACTTAGCACTCTGACCTCAAGGGCAGGTGGAACTGGACCGGCCGAGCAATGGCTCAAATGGACACTCAGGACAGACATTAATCCACTCCAGACCTACAAGGTTAGATTTGGAGCGGCTCCCTAGAAACTCACCCCGCTGTCAACAGCCAGCTTTTTCCCCTCCCCGAAACTCAGGAAGGGCTACAGAGCTGAATTACAGGCTCCCAGGTCCTGTCCTGAGCACGCAGAGGGCTTGAAGCCCCGCGCTCAGCTCCTCACCTTGGGATGGTGGTGCTCAGAGCCGGCTCCCAGGCAGCAGGACGCAGGTGAGTGCCTGAGGGTGGACTCTGGGGATGGGGGCTGGGAGATAGCAGGAGATGCTGACAGCTGTTTTGTGTGAAGCTCAGGACCCATGGCAGTTTCATACAGACTTCTTGGTAAACTTGCGGGAGTGGTGACCAGAAACCTTTCATGGTTGCCAGAAACATCTAACTGAGCCACTGTTAGCTAAACATAAGGCTCCTGTGAGTCTGGGAGAGCCACCCACGGCGTTTTCATTCATGAGGAAGGCAAAACGGATAATTCCAAGAGACAAAAGGTGGTTACTATTCCCTCTTCCCCATACCTCCCCAGGTGGAAATCCTTCCCTTCCCAGTTGCCCCAGCTGCTTTCTGTTCAGTATGTTCCACACTAGTTCCTACAGCTTTACCTTCTTGCTAATCATCTCTTACTTACACCCAGACATTTCACTCAGAAGAGTCCTTTTATGGTGAAAGGGGGACAAGTGCATTTTCATAAAACTTAGGGACCCATTATACCTCTCACCTGGCATACATGTAGGGTCGCTGTAGGGGGACTTAGCAAGCAGTATACCCTCCTAGGTAGGTGTTCGTCACCTAAGACCTTGTCAATCCAACAAGAGAACCCAGGTGGATGCATCCCCTGAGCCCCTTTCTGCCTGGGCTAACCACTCTGGGGGTGCTGTCTGAGAAGAGAAACACACATCATGCCCACGAATGGTCAAGTTCATCAAGAAGACGATTGGCTAGAGCTTTGAGGATGACCTTGAGTTCTGCCTACTGAATTGAGCAACCCAAAACATAGTTTTGGTTCTGCATAACTGTGTCTGAGCGTCTCTGGAAAAAATATACAAGTGTGTATCCATTCATGGATCATTCTGCACAAGAGGGTTTTTGGAGTATTTGTAATATTTTGTTTCTTGGGTGCTGGTTACATGGATATGTTCAGGGTGCGAAAATTCAGTGAGCCACACTCTGATGTTCAGGGTACTTCTCAGTGTATATTGTTCTTGTAGAAAGTTAAAAAGAAACTAAGAACTTGTGATCATCCAAAGATATCATTATTTGGATGAAATGCAAGTTTCTAAGTGGGGGAAGATATTGCAATTCAAAGGACCCATAGTGGGGGGCGGGGGGGGGTGGATCCTTCTATTAATAAGAAAAAAACAGACAGCCCAAAGAAAATGTGAAAAAGAAGAGTTTCCAAGACAGAAAAAGATCTTCTGTTGGTCAAGGACATTTCATTTGCCACTCATAGCCACCCTGGGAAGGGACACAAGGACCAACAATTTTGAAAGAAGCATGTAAGAAGAGTCTGCAGGTGTTTCTCCATATTTACCCAATGATTTCACATCTAATTTCAATCCTTTGAAAATACAGATGTAGATACAGGTTTTTCATACAGAGATGTTTGTCTCAGCATTATTAAGAAAAATAATTAGGTTGTACAAGCTATAATCTTCAGTCCAATGTAGCAAAAATTTGTGAGCTAATGTGTTGGCTGTTGTAAACACAAAACAGACATGCAGCATATGGTCCCTCAGTGTCCTCCATTTGGTAAAATATATGCAACTTTCAGAATTATATTTTCAAAGAGTATTTGTTTTAGGGGGAAGATGTGCTAATGCACATATAATAGTAAATAAAAAGTAGTATGTTAAAGTCTGTATAATATACTCTATGGAAAATACAATGTTTTCAATAAATCCTCTCTAGGTGCCTTCAGCTGAGTAGACCATGCCCGCCCACCCCCAGCCTAGCTCTGTATTTTTCTTTTTTTTTTTTTTTTAAGATTTTTATTGGGGAATTGGGGGATGGGAACAGCGCTGGGGAATTGGGGGAAGGGGAGCAGACAAGTTGCTGTCCTTTTGTTCTTCAGTCTAGTTGTGGAGGACGTTGCTTCACTGGCCCAAGTTGGCACCATCATTGCGCTCTTCCCAGGCGAGGCAGATCAGTCGCTGGCTTCTGGACGGCTGCTCACTGCGGCTGCTGGCCGCTCACGCTGGCTGCTGGCTACATACGGTAGCCCATGGCAACCCACTGCCACAGGGGCTGCAGCCTACGCCGTCGCCGGCGACTCCCGGCAGCCCAGCTCCAGGTTGAGCTGTTGTTCAGCATCTTAGCTGTGGAGGGCAGTGTCACTGGCCCTCATATGTGGGATCCGAACCGGGGCCCTCTGATGTCCCAAGCCAGTTCTTAACCAACCCACTCGGCCGGCCCTGTATTTTTCATTTTTTGATGAGCTGACCAAAAACCAGTGTGGCAAACAGGCTCCTAATATGGTCCCTAGGCCCTCTCCCCCCTGATATTTGTGCCCTTGTGTGATCTCTTGCCTTGAGATCTCGAACTGTGACTTTCTTCTAGCAGGTAGAATATGGCAGAGGCCATAGGAGGTACATAATTATGTGCACGTGTCTATGTGAACAAATTACATGACATGACATCACCCATTTATTTTTTGGAGCAAACAGTGTGGATATTTAGAGTCAGACAGGCCTGGGTTGGTGATGTGCTATGTGAGGGAGAAGTAGCAGACTTTGGAACTGTACGGGTTTAGATCCTGAGTCTTGCCTTACTAACTGGGTGGGCTTGGGCTTCTGCCTCCAAATTGACATGAGTTTAACAGTAATTTCAATATCATAGACTTAGTTAGACAATTGACTTTTATTTTATCAATCAATTTAAGATGGCTTACTTTTCCAATTCGGCCCTTTCCAAGGTATCCATAAAACAGGAGATAGCAGGAGATAGCTGTATTGGGGAGTGGGGGAGTCGTCCTCGCCTTTTTTTTCCATCAGGGTGATAAGAGGTGCTAAGGATAGGTCATAGCTCATTCAGAGGCCTCACACTGGTTACCGAGCTGAGGTCACCTAGGCATCTGCCCCTCTTTTCTCTCTCCCTTAGTTCCCAGGCCCTGCCTGCCCCATCCAGGAGAGAGAAGAATGTGGATGGGTGGTTTTGAGGTACACATTAAAAGAAAAGTGAGGTGTGAGCTTTGGTTCCCTAAGTGAACATTTCTGGCTCTTGCTGGGGGGATTATGATCTATAGTGTAGAGAGAAGTAGCAAGGTTGCACCACCTGTCTGTCCCTCCTCTGGCCCTTCTTCCTGGGATGTCATCCCTTAAAGTCAGAAAACTTGAAAATCGGCATTCAGCATCTGTAGCCGTAACATGCTGCTACTTGTCCAATTAGCCAGGTCCCAGAAGCCTTTGCACAGGGCTTTGCTCCAGCAACAGAGCAAGTCGCTGCTCGTCCAAACTCAACGTAAAGCACACTGCACATCACATTAGACACTGTGAAGAGGCCAGGTCTCTCTGTCTGCCTGCTGGAGTGCTGAATGATGAGCAGCGAACAGGAAAGGCCCACCTGCCTGCTCCAACCCGGAGGGACACTGGCCAGAAGCTTCCCTTTTCTGGGATGAGGCGTGACCTCTGGGTCTGACAGGCTGAGTCTTCACTCACCCAACTCTTAGGGGCTGCATTGGCAGAGAGAAGGATGGAGCTGGAACACCACCTCTCTTGGTAAAAGATTAAAACAACTTGGTAGGGAAGTGGCACAGCACAAGCGGCACACATGGGTGCCCTCAGGGTTGACCATTGGTCCTCAAGGAAAAGCTGGATTCAAGGGCAAATTACATCAAAACTCCTCCAAGAACTCACGGAGGAACAAAGCAGCAAGAATGAGCACTCAGCATTCCCAGGGACCACAAAAGGGAACCACTTCTTAGAGCCAAATAAAGTCTAAGACTTAGAATCTAGTCCTCCTCCCAAAGACGCAACAGGGCATGCTGCACCTGCTGCCTTCCTGGCTAGTCTGTTCCCAGGGAACAAGCAGGAGGCAGGTCCTGACTGAGCTCACACCTGAGGCAGAGAGCAAGGCAAGGCTCTGTTCAGTTACAGGGGCTCCACCCAGTTTCTTTCTGCTGCCACCTCTGGACACCGTGGTGCTCCACCTTACTCTAGCTGAGGACCTGCCTGTGAACAGGCAATGCTCTAGCTGTAGGTCTGGGTATTCTTCTTTAAGAGAGATGGAAGAGACTGGACTCTTCCCAACAATGCTGAGGTCCGAGCCAGGGTGTGGGAGAGGGACGCAGACTATCTCCTGTGGGCATGGTGCCTTCGGGAATGCCCGTGCTCCCGTTTCTTTGGGGTTTTGGGTTTTGCACTAAAGGAAAATGAAGGGGCTGATGACCTGAAAGACCCTCTCCCAACGGAGCTCTGGGCATGTGGAGAGGGGACCCCAAAGCTAAAGCTGCTGCCTATCTTAACTGGCCCAGGGACAGGGGTGCTCTGAGCCAAGGGGACCATGTGGGGGGCCCTAAACACAGTCTTTCTTGCAGAAATGCTGGCCCTCCCTGAGGCAAAAGGAGTGATGTGGCTGGTCAGGCCCTGGGTGCTCTGGTGGCAGACTTTTCCAAAGGGTATGATGGTGGGGCGAGTGGCCCCACCCAGCATTGCTCCAACAGAGAACATTCCAGAGTTGGAGCTCTTGTCCGGGAGAGTCATGCTGACCCCAGACTCCTCACAGTCCATAGGGATCTCTAATCCCCCAAAGGCAAAAGGTCGTGGAGCTGTTCTGCCAAACACTGAGCCACAAGCCCCACTCTGGAAGGCCTGGGTGACAACTCCAAAACCAGTGGCACTAGCTTGACCAAAGGAAAAACCTGCTGGGGTGCTGCCAAAGCCAGGCCGGGGGTGGAAGTTGGAGGCTGAGGGCATTGATGCCCCAAAGGCCGGCTGTGTGAGGCTGCCAAAGGCCTGCTGAGCTGGGGTCGGGACTGGGGCTGGGGTTGGGGGTGGCATGGCTGAGTTTCCAAAGATGAAAGAGCTATTGAAGCTTGGGCCAAGGGCTGCTTGGGGGGCTCTTTGCTTTTGGTCACCTGATGCCCCAAATGCAGGCAGGGGGGTGACTCCCAGGGGTAGTGGGGAAGGTGGCTTTGAGCTTGACCCCCAGGGAACTGTGAATGTTGAGGTTGGATTGGAGACGCCAGATGACAATGCAAGCTGATTTGCGGTTACAAGGGCTGAGGCTTGCAGAGGGCTGCCCATACCCCTCAGATTGGCAGTGTTTCTACTAGGAGAGACCTGGACAGCACTGGGAAGAGCCTGGCTAAAGGAGGGAACTCTGTATGCTGTAGGAGTGGTAGGACATTGGTGAGATGGGACTGTGAAGCCTGCTGCTGGGGAGAAGCTGGCCGCGCCGGCCTGGGCAGCCCCAAGAAGGGAGGCGTGCCCAGCGGAAGGGAGAGAGGGAGTGTTGCCCATGGCACTGGTGACAGCCACTGCATTACAGCCCACAGGGGGCTTGAAAGAAGAGTCTTTGGATGTGCTGGCTGGGGCGGTGGACATGACTGCAGAGGTAGCCTTGAGCAGGCCATGGGGGAGGAGGGCAGCGGCAGGAGGAACTGGAGGAAAAACCGGCCTGAAAGACAAAGGAGCTCTCACGGGCAGAGTTGTAAGTGGTCCTGTGTCGCCAAAGATGGGCTTGAAGGTGGGAATCACGATGCCCGGAGGTGGAGATGCCACAGCTGTGGCTGAGACCCTGGAATGCGAGGCGACTCCAGCCTCTCCGTTGGGTGGGGATCCCCAAACGCATTTCACCGTGGGGTCAGCAGAAGGTGTAGCAGGAGATGCAGACGCAGGATGATGGGCAGCCGGTTCCCTCCTCTTCCCAAACAAAGCCCTTTGTATGGAGGGCGCTGCAGGGGTGATGGCAGGTGGGTCTGGGGGCCTGGCTGACCTGTCAGCCTGAGAGGTCGCAGGTGGCTGTGTGGTGTCAGTGGCTGGTGATGTGGGAGAAGCAGAGGTCAGAAGGGTGACAGCGGCCGTGGGCTTTGCGTCTAAACAGGGGCCTGGGAGAGGCTCTGACCATGAGCACCTGAGTGGGGCCAGCAGGCTGGGTGTCTTCGGAGGTGGACGGGCCATCCTGCTGTTCTCTCCAGCAGGCTGTGGGAAGGCCAGCGGACCTGGAGACCCCACCTGAGGGTTTGTGTCCTGGGTGGGAACTGCGCCTGCAGGAGGCAGGAGGAGAACCCAGCAGCGTGGAACAGGGGGCTGAGAGTCGGGGACAGAGGCTGTGGTGACCTCTGTTGCATCCTTTCTGGGTTTGTTGCCTTTCTGGAGTCCAGCTTTCTCCGAGCCCAGGTCCTCTTTGGGGGCTGCATAACCAAGCTGGGGAAGTGGGGTCAGAGATGGCAAGGTCCTGGGGCTAGAGAGCAGCCGTGGAGTCTCCTGGTTCTGCTGCCCAGCATGGCCAGCTGCTGCTGGGGACTTCTCAGATACCAGTGGGACTGGAGAGTGACACTGATGGCCATTTACTCTCTTTTTTACTGGCCACTCTGGCATCTGGAATGATGCACTGGGAACACTTCTCTTGTAATGCTTGGAGAGATCTCTGGAAGAGCTGTAAGAGCTGATGATGGCATTTTTCTTGGAGCCGCAGAGGCCACCTATCTCTGTGCTGGCCCAGGAGCTCACGGAGGAGCAACAGGGCCTTTTATGCAAGCTGTGGTCTGAGCTGCCGGAGTCCAGGCTTCTCTTCAGAGACCCAGGCCTGGGCACAAGGGATGTGCTGACTTCATTTTGTGTCAGAGGCTTAAATGCAGATGGCTTGGCGTCTGGACTCCCCTCGCTGTTCTTCCACTCAGGGAGCAGTGGTTCTTGCCGCCTCACTCTCCCCTTCCTGCACTCTCTGAGAGCCCTCAGCACTGTCTCCTTTGCACATGGGTCTGAGGGCTTCTCAGAGGGTGAGGACTCTGCAGAGCTGACCCGTGCTGGGGACTTGGAGGGGACCCCTCTCGGTTCAGGTGGCGCGATCTTGATGGTCACGGGGCTCCATGCTGCCCTGGGCCGAGGAGGCCAAATTCTGAAATTCCAGTAACTTTCCCACAAGGCTGAGGGAAGAGGCCCTACGATGGGATTCTGCGGCCTCCTCCCGGGAAAGCGCCTCCAGGCCTCACTGACCACCCACCCGGTAGGCCTGGCGGGGCCCCAGCTCGGCTGCCTCCTCCAGGGCCTGAACCGCGGGGCAGGGTGGGCGCGGTGGACGTACTGAACCCGGTGGACCTGGTGAAGGGACTGAACCGGCCGGCGGATGACAGGCCTCCGGGGCACATCTGTGCGCCCTTCTCCCGGGGACAGCGGCGGGGGGCCCGACTTGCCCAGGTAACTGCCCATGCAGAGCAGAGAGGCGCCTCGGCGACTTCGAGGAGGGTTTGGGCCTCCGAGGTTCCTGACGTCTGCCGGCTCGGCCGAGTCCACGTGCGCGGGGTCCGGTGACGGTTGGGTCCCAGCGCGAGGAAACAGCGAGGCTCGCGGGGCGCGGGGCGCCCTCAGGCCCCGCGTCCGCAGGTCAGCACCCCCGGGAACAGGGGACACGCGCGGCTCTGCCGTTTGGAGGCCTAAGCCGAGCGCTCGGGCTGCTGCTCTCCCTGCGGGCGGCGCGGGCGAGGGGCGAGCTCCGAGGGAGCCCGCGCGCCCGAGGTCGCTAGTCGCGCAGAGCTGCGGCCGGCCTCGAAGGCGCCGGCTCCCGGTCCTCCCGGGTCCCCAGAGTCGGAGCCCGGTGCGTGACTGGAGACCCCACGGAGCACCCACGCAGCCAGTCGTGCCCGTCCATCCACCCAGACCCTGCGCCCCGCAGGCGCCGGCGGGTTCGGCCATCTCTCCATTCAACGCCCCTCCCGGCCCAGCCGGCCCGAGCTCCGGGACCCGCGCAAAGAAGTGGGAGACGTCTGCACCCACTTTGGGACAGAGTGGGTTTGGAAGGGAACTCGTTTTCCGAGGCCCTTTTCTGGAAAGAGTCAGGTTTCATCCATGCCAATTATATTGTTATCAGGAGGAATTTTTTAGTGATCTGTACAGGTTACTTGTTTTTGAATTTTTTCAGAATGTTCATCACTAGTTGACCCTGGCTTAGCAAAATATTGAGCTGCAAATTAAATGAGATCTTATGATATTTGTATAAAAATGGACGTTTTGGTTGCTCCACATTAATTGTATCCAAGTTAGCCGTCTATTTTTCCCCTTGAACATGATCTCTTTTTTTCTAATTTTAAGAAGTATTTAGGAAAATGTATTTTATTGTTTTAATGGTAAATGATCGTAGACAAATTATTCTTCATTTAGAATGTTGTGTTGTAGGCAGTTTTGTAAGTCAGTTACAGTTAGTACAGTTCCTTTGTTTTTAAAATTGATTATATGGATTTATTCCATTTTCTTTATCAGGAATATATGAGTGCACTAGAAGTGGACTCATTCAGTAAATGATACCCATGGGCTCCAGCTGGGCCCGGGGTCATGAGGGCAGTTCTGGGGTGACAGGTGCGTGCGGCGCTGACCCCCTTTGAATTTGCATGGATCTGCTGGCCAGGAAGGAATGGGTTCGTATCCCGTTTGTGAAAAGGGCACGTCCAGGCTCTGAAGAGGAGCCTGTCTCCACCGCCCTTTCCCCGCACCCTGTGCCACTGTTGTCCAGTCTATCAGGCCTCCCAGGCCCAGTCAGACCTCAGAGCACGACCCCAACCACCCCGGCCCCGTGTATCATGGACAGCAGGGCGGCGACCCCTCTCCCTGACTCACGCAGGCCTTTACTTTGGGCTGAAAATCATTTCCCCGAGGCGGCCTCGGCATGAGACGTCCTGGCCTGGGAAGGGGCCCCGCGCTCCCAAGGCGCTGCCTTCAGCCGCCTGCAGACGCGCGTCGGGAGAGGAGACGAGAGTGAAAAAGGCCCGAGGGCGAACTCCTCCCAGGGCCCAGTCCTCTCTGTTCGTCTGTGCCTTTCCGCGCTGAGGAAACACTCCTTTCCTGTCGTCCCTTCTGATCGTTTTCCTGGCACCCCTCTCTCTCCGGGTCACGTCGGAGATTTGCCCTTCTACAACCAAACGACCCCCGGCCAACGCCTCCCCAACCCACCAGTGTCCAAAATCGGAAGTTTTCTTTTTAAAAAACGTTTCCAGGAGCCTCTTTTTGCACAGAGCAGAATTGGGGGAACCCTCCTCGGGCAGAGTCCGGGAAGCAGGTGAGTTAAAATGTTGTGGTTGTTTCCAGGTTTGGGCTATTAAAAATAAAGCTTTTGTGAAAAATAACATACAGGTTTTTGTGTGGACATAAATTTTCATTGTTCTGGGATAAATGTCTAAGAATGGAATTGCTGGATTCTGCGTATGGTAAGTGTATGTTTCTTTTGGGAGAAACTGCCGAACTGCCAGAGTCGCTGTACCATTGTGCAATGTAGGATAGACACAGTTCCTCTGCCTCCTTGCCAGCCTTTGTCAGTGTCACCGTTTCCTAGATGACCAGTGATAGTGAACATTTTTTTCACGTGTACATCCTCTTTGGTGAAAAGTCTCTTCATGCCTGTTGCCCGTTTTCTAACTGAATTGAGCGCTGTTTTAATGTTGAGTTTTGAGCTCTTTGTATATTCTAGTCTGAGTCCTTTGTCAGATACCTTGTTTGCAAATATTGTCTGCCAAATATTGTCTTTTTTTATCTTCTTAACAGGGTCCTTTGCAGAGCAAAAGTTTTTAATTTTGAGGAAATCCAATTAGTTAAATTTATCATTTATGGATTGTGGTTTTTGGTGTATGTCTAAGAACTCTCCACCAAGACTCCAGGACCCCCAAATTTCCTTTTATGTTTTTTTCTAAAAGTTTTATGTTTTACTTAAATCTATAAACCATTCTTAGTTAAGTTTTTAATAAGGTATGAGGTTTAGGTTTAAGGTTTATATTTTTTTGCCTGTGGGTATCGAATTGCTCCACCACCCTTTTTTTTTTGAGACTAGGTCTTTCCTTCCTCTACTGAATTGCTTTGGCACTTACGTCAAAAATAACTTAGCTGTACGTGTTTGTGGTGATACCTGGGTTCTCTTTCATTGACTTGTAAGCCTATCCCTCTGCAATAATGCTGTCTTTATTACTGTGGCTGTATTATAAGTCTTGAAATCATAAGTGATTTCTTCCACTTTATTTCTCTTTTTCAGAATCATTTTAGTTCTTTTAACTCATTTGCCTTTCCATATAAATTATAATAGTTGTGTCTATATCTACAAAAAAATCTTACCTGGATTGTGTTGGGAACTGTGTTAAACTTGTGTGTCATTTTGAGAAGAGTGGACATCATTACTATGTTGAGTCTTTTGATCAGTGAACACAAAATATCTCTCCATTTATTTGGGTCTTTGATTTGTTGCATCTGCATTTTGTAGTTTTCAGCATGTATGTGTTTTGGTAGATTTGCATCTATGTTTTTCTTTCTTTTCTTTTTTTGTTTAGTGATGTAAATGGCACTGTATTTTAATTCTGGTGCCTATGTGTTTATTGCCAGTATAAGAAATACAATTTGCATTTTGATCTTGTCTTCTGTGACTTTGCTGAACATACTTATTAGTTCTAGGTTTTTTGTTTGTTTTTAGGTTCCTTAGGAGTATGTATGTAGACCATTGTATCATCTTCAAATGGAATGGGAAGTATAATCTTTCAGTAGAAAGGGAGAGGAAAATGTATATTTCTAAAGAAAAAACAATCCACTGAGCAATCAACTGTACCATCCACACACAATGGGCCCAAATTGCAGAAACGAAGAATAAAGTGTCCCAATATTTCTGGATTGGATGAGTATTTCACCTAAAGACCATACTGCAGGACTTGTCAAATAACTCCCTGCCATTGTGATTGTCGTTAGAATGTGACATCACTGTGGTGAGCTGGAGAGCTTTCCCCATCTGCCCAGTAGCTCAGTTGTGAGAGTGAAGGGCTGAAAGTCAAAGGTCCTGGGTTCTGACACGCTGAACATGAAAGTCCATTAATACAATTTCCAGTTCCTTTTCGAAACATCTTCACCCAGAGGGATAGCTTTCTTAGATTCCGTGGACTGTAAGCTTTTTGTGCTGTGTCCCTCAGAAAATCCCCATTATTAAAAACTGCTCAAGTCATCTTCTGCTTGGAATAGAATAGCTAATCTCAGCTACTGGTTAAGGTTGAAGGTAAAAACTGACTTCCTGGCGTTTCTTCACTTTAGGCAAATTAAAGTTGTCACACTCCAACCCACATTTCCTTAAGACTAAGATGAAGCACCCTTTGAGCAAGGGGAACACAAGCCCAGGTGTCTAGACAGGGACTTGAGCCCTGGACACTCAGAGTAAAAGTCCGATGCTCTGCCAACTGAGCTACCCAGGCGCTGAGAGTGAGGCATGCCCATGTGCAAAGATAATGTCACTGACTATTGCAGTTCAATCATGTGGCAGGGTCACTGTTGCCCTCAAGAAAGGCAACTGAGCAGATGTTTGACCCCCCCCCAGAGTCGATTCGCCCAGAACTTGTTCATGTTTTCTACAGGTCGGTAGAGAAGGTATATAAATGGCATCAAGAAAGCAATCCTTATTTTAATACAGTTATGAAAGGAAAAAATTTCAAAACCCAACTGTTGTTCCATTACATTTTATGGAATTCTTAGTTAAATCTGTCAGCCCTTACTGGGCACCAAGAAATAACCCAAAAAAAGATACAAAGAAACAATAAAAACAAGAGAAGAAAAGTGAAAAGCAACCAGGGGAGAGCAATGGTAAGAATCTGACAAATTTGGCAAAATCTGACATTTACTTCTAGGTGGAAGTAAACAAAGCTAGTCATTAAAGAGGAGGGAAGTGTGGTGAATGTGGGTGGCCCTACTGTACACTTCACTGCTTTTGGTTGTACTTACCCTCTAAAAGTATTTTGACAAACTTGGCATTTCCTTTCACATTTTTCCAGTGGGCATCTAACAGTATTCTTCGAAAGTTTAAATTCTCCTGAAGAATACAGTAATTTGTATCAAAGGAATCTAAAAACCATAGTAATTTAATACTTACAAGCAGAGAGAGGGAGAGGGAGGAAAGGGGGAGGGGAAAGTGGGGTGGGGGGGGGAAGAGAGGGGAGTACCAGCCCTTCTTTAATTTCCTGTGGAAGATTTTCCATTGATCTTTATTTCCTTGAATTTGTCATTTCCATTCTGTGTCTCCCATAGAATTTTATCCCAATACAACATCATTTTGTATTTAGTCTTTTCTTCACCTTCCTACCATACTTCTCTGTATCAAATCCAAGTACGAACGTTGAAAATCTGATGTTATTTCCTGTGACCCCAAATCTGTGTTAAAAGTAGTTGTTGTGGGTTGTTACTTTTGCATCTCCTTGCAGTGCACAATCAATCAACGCATAATAAATAGAAAACAACTTGAAAATCCTTTTAAATGAAGTACCTGTGGAATTTGTCATCTCCGTGAAATAGGGTACGAGGCCACCGCGACTGAAAGAGGCATCCCTGACTCACTATTTCCAATTGTTCCATGACGGGGATCCGGGGAGAGCATTTTACACCCCGGGGCAACGTGCCACAGCCAATGATCTTAATTTATCAGAAATGTCTGAAGCTATCAAGCAGAAAGGCGAGAGGTTTGCGTGGAAGCTGAGGACGTGGGACTTGCCACACTTCCGTGGCAGACTGATCATCAGGCGAATGTTGGAAAGGTTTTCCTTCGGAGAGGTCAAATATGTAAGATCTAGATTTAGTTCAGCTGTTGAATACAGCTCAGCACTTGATTTGCTACAAAACTCTCAGTCGAGGGCGTTCCACGCTCTCCTGCTGCACTCTGCGGACAAACCGACGTCCCCTCCCTGAGGTCCCATTTCATCATCAGTTACATCATCATGTTCCCAGCAGAAGGGTGTCCTTTTTTTCCTCGTCTTTTTCCTCCTCTCTCCTAGCCTCCCCTTCTTTTTCTCCGCCTCCTTAAATCCCACGCCCCCTTTGCCTTTCCTCCTCCCACAGGCTGGTTCCAGCAGTGCCTCGGAGTCTGTGCTTCCCTCCACCTGCCTCAGCCTCCGGAGCCGCCTCTCCAAAGGCTGTTTGGCTGGTGGAGGAAGAGGAGAGGGAACCGAGGAGGCGCAGAGCAAGGTCTGAGGAAACCCTAGCAGGAGAAGAACTGGGGCTGTGGGGTTAGCTCTCCTGCTTCCGGAAGAAATGTCCTTACCCCATCCCATCCCACTGAAAAACTCAAGAGCTGCTTCTTTGCCTGCAAGGGAACCAAACTTTCAAAATTCTGTTTCTGATGGGGTTCGTTTGGATCCGTTTGTTCAGGGACCAGGAATTCCATGTGTTTCGGGGCTAATATCAGGGCACAGGCTCCTGTGTTTGCCCTATGTTCAGGAACCACCACACTAGATGCCCTGTAAGAACTTCACACAGAAGGGATCAGAAGTCACATATAAATATTACTCACTAAATCCAAATGTCAAATCTCTACAATTTAACTTCCCCTAAGGGTCTGTAGTCACATCTCCCAAAGGAGGGTGAGTGTGACAGAGAAGTTGGAGTGGAAACGGACAGTGAAATTCCTGATTGTCTCACATCCTCTTGCTTTGGGACTTGGCAATTGTGTGTGGCATGGAATTCCTGCCCTTTTCCCATTTGCCAGTTCCCGCTTGTCCTTTGCATCTCAGTTCAGACAGTGCCCATTGCCTTTGCCTAGAAGCTTTTGCTGACTTCTCAAGACTGGTGTAGAAGCTCCTGGAATACACCAGGGTCCTGGGATTTCTTCAGTTCTATTATTGTTGCATTATAACTGTCTCTTGCATGACTCTCCCGAAACATCTCATGCTCAGGGCTCAGCCCTTAAATGCCCTGTGTATGCAAATGTCTCTCTATCTTGGCCTCTCCTTCACTCTCCAGACTCACACATACAGCTGCTTTCTACACAAACATTTTATACACAACTTTGTCAAAAACTGAACTGGTCTTCCCCCGAAACTTGCTCCTCACCAGTGTTTCCCATCTCAATAATCAACCACTCCATCGGTGCAGTCATCTGTACCTCCTCTTCCACTCAGGTCCTACAGCTTATCTATCAGCTCCACCTTCAAAATTGGTCCATAATTCAACTATTTTAAACTGTTTCCACTGTCGTCACACTACAAAATCTATCACCACCTCTCACCTAGATGTTTGCAATAGACTCTTCACTGATCTCCCTGTTTCTATTTACCCTGCCTCTTCCTGTCTATCCTAACCACAGCAGTAGTACTCTCCAAGGGTTTCCCTTTCCTTCAGTATAAAGCCAGACAGAATGGCCTGCAAGGTCCCTCTCCTCCCCTCCCATTCCCTCCACTCTCCTCCTCTCCAGCCACACCTACCTCCTTCTTCTCAAACAAGTCAGGCATACTCCAGCCTCAGGACTCTTTACAAGCTGTTTTTTCTGCCTGGAAACTCCTTTTCTCAAAGATGTGCCTAACTCATTTCCATCAGATCTTTGCTGAAACGTCACTTGCTCAGTGAAGTTTTACCTGTTTAACATATTTAAAACCACAAAAGTTTTCTTTTTAAAAACCAGCCAGCCTATTGTCTTTCCTTCTTTACTTTTTCATTAGTATTTATCACCACCATCTACTACACTATATATTTTGCTTCATTTGTCAGCATTTCCCTACAGAATGCAAACTCCAAGAGGATAGAGTTGTGCCTGTTTTGTTCACAGCTGTAGACCCAGTATCTAGAGGAGTACATGTCGTGTAGTAGCTACTCATTAACAATTTGTTGAATAAATATTGGTCTGCCAGAGTTCATATGAAGCACTCAATAAGTGAGTTTTTCCATAAGTGGACATGTAAGCAAATTTCAAGAGTTTGACCCTGAAAAGCGACAGGTGTGGTCTGTTCATAGGTAAATGCTTTGGGTTCCATTTACACAGCTCCCTGTTGTGGTTGAATGTGTAAACCTGAGTCGCTAACCACGGGGTCTTCTGTTTAATCGTGACCCACCAGGCCAATCAGTGCTTGTACAAGGAGCTTGAGCCTGCAGTTAGGACTAAGCCTCTAAGATGTCTAGTCCCATCTAGAGGGCTGCAGATGTTCACCTGTGTAGTCACTAGTTCTTCCCCTTTCCAAACCTTCTGACTGTCCAGGAATAAACCTGACTCCTGGGCTACTGGAGCCTGAGGGTGACAATGACACATGAGGCTCCGAGGGAGTGGGGATCTGTTCAAAAGAAGACAAACTTTCCTGTAAGGCTTCTGAATAGTGCTTTAATTTTTGTTAGTGATTTTATTGTTTAGTATTTTGTAAAAGTAATAACACAGAGTTCAAAAGCAGTATAAATAATTATACAATTAAAGATTTCTCTCCCATCCCTTCCCATGATACTTTTAAATTAATTATTGCTAGCACAGTGTATGTGTTTGTAGTACTACTAATTTTTTTATGTATTTATTTTGTAACTGTTCACACAATTGTGTGACTTTGCCATGCATTTTTCTGGTCATAAAGTCTATGACTGTCATAGATTCTTAGAAGGATACATCAATTCAGAAAGTTTAAACGCCGCTGTCTTAAGTCCAGGCTTTCTCAAAGCTTGTATAGCACGTCCATTATAACTCACCCCTATGTGTGAATGGTAACTTTGTTCTGTATATTTTACTACAATTTAAAGTTATAATTATAACCTGTAGAAACGTGTGCGGTTTTTTTTTAAATCTACTGGATTAGGGTAGTAGAATCTACTGATTTTATTCATCTTTATGTCACTTGATAGAATTTGAGAAATGTCCTGCATTTGATTGCATGTAAGCACCTAAACTATGCACAGAGGCCTGTTTCTCCAGAAATCGTCTGCGGCCCATGTGCATCCGAGTTGCCTGAGAACATGCTGGGACCTCAGGTCGATGGGTCAGTCTCAGAGTGCAGAGCCTGGGAACCTGTATTTTTTGACAAGCTCTCCAGGTCCACTGTGTAAAGCTATTTATTTATAAAGCCTAGTCTGGGCTACAATTTGTAGGACGTGCGTCGGCCTCCAGGAGTTCTGGAAGACCCGCTTCTTGGGCCTCTCGCCCCAACTTCTCATCTCAGCCTCAACCTGTCATCAGGGCGGGAGAGTTTCAGCACCGCCGGCGGTCCGGGTCTCCGCGCAGGCGCAGAGGCGCGCCGGCCTGCGTGTGCCCAGGCGCCCTACGGTCTGTTCTTTATGCGTCGTCGGCGCCTGGAGAATTAGAGAATTAGTCTGGGCGGCTGATCGGCATTGGCTGGCCGTGCACACCGCGAAGGAATGACCAGGGCCCGAGTGAAGAGTGTCACCAGTGACCGTGAGCCCGGACGCGCCGTAAGCACGGGGGCAGCGGGTCCGCACAGGGCTCCCCTGTTAATCCCTCCGGCTTCCCCTCGGCCCGCGCACTCAGGTTCCGCCCGTGCGCCGGGCCGCCGGATGTGTGTCCGGACGCTGCACGGGAGGCGGCCGGTGAGTGGGGCGCGCAGGGCCCTGCGCCGGGGCCGGGCGGGGCGGGCCTGGAAACTCGGGGAAGTGCTCTCGCGGCAACCCTCGGCTCCCGGGGGAAGACGGGCCAGGGAGCCCGGGGGGCCTGGTCGCGCGTCGCCCGGGGGTCTGCGCGCCCGGCGCTCCCCGGCGGGTGGGCCCGGCCTGGCTCCGCTGCGATGACAGCAGGTGCGGTGGGTCTCCGGGGCGCCTGGTCGATGATGCGTTCCGCTCCCCTCCGGCCGGGCGAAGAGGGAGGACTTCTGTGCCCGGGCTGTTTGCAGGTGCTCGCCGCGTGCCAGGCACTGGACCCGGAGTGTTAACCCGCAGCGACTCGTGTAATCCTCGCATTAACCCCGCGAGAGGTGCTAGTCTCACCCCCTCGTTCCAGATCAGGAAATCGAGGCACACAGAGATAAAGCACCTTCCTTTCGTTACAGAGCCTGTGAGCAGCAGCCTTTATTGGATGATGGTCCTGATGATAACGCTTGGTCCTTGACTACCCATTGAGCCAATTTCCAAGAACACTTGTGTGAGGACTATTTTTGTGAACCTGGCACGGACTTGATCGTTTGTCTCCCAGGGCTGAACGCGCGCTGATTCCACTGCGCGTGCGCAAAGGCTCCGGGCAGCCGCGCTAGGGGACTGCAAACCAGATTGGTTATTTCCCCTGGTTTTTCTATCGCTTGCAACAGAGCTATGACCCAAATCCAGGCTACTTAGTAAATGCTTACCCCACGTGGGCTCTACCTGATATTACGCCGATTCGTGCCAAGGATACCACTCGCACTGTAGCGGCACGTTAGCGGGGGCTGAAGTTTCAATCCTTCGGTTACATAGCGTGGTTGGGACTTGCAACCTCTGAGGATCAGTCTCGAAGCCTCCATGTCACTGTGGAGGCAAGGGTGTGCCGATATCCTGGGATCGGAGTAACAGGAAAGGAAAGGGTGACTCCAATGCCCTTTCTTGGCCTATTGAGAAGCAGTAAGTACTGTGTGGTGAGTTTGAGTCTAGGATTTATTACTTGGCCTTGGGCGAAACTCCTGAACCTTTCTGTGCTCAAACTGTTCATCTGTATTGTGGAATAACAGTAGAACGCCTCTCACTGTTGCAAGGTGTACATGGGTCAATATTTGTAAAATGCTTAGAATAGGCAGACCCAAAAGAAAAGACCCAAAGAAGGGCCTTTCCCAGAGGCTGCACCTCCCAGTTTGGTTCCTTTTTTGAATGTAGACACTGTCCCCAGTGGGGTTCCTGTGTGTCTATCACGTGTGTTACCTACACAACCACATAATGCACAATACAGTTATACATGTCATGAGCTCATATGAAATGCAAAAGCAAGTACACTTGGGGACTCTTACACTGTGCACTAGATATACATTACTTGAATTATAGATAATCGTATCAAATTGAAACATTTTACCAATCATCTGTACATTAATAAGCATGAAAGTAAACCCTAAACTTCAAATTGGCTATCTCCTTTGAACTGTCCTAGTTCTTTCTCTGTTCAGGGTATTCTCACTATCTTTAGTATCCTGTGTTTCAGTGGTTCCAGTGTGAGAATTTACAAAGATCTTCAAATTTCAGATCTTCCTGGTTTCCCTTTGCCTCCGAAAACCTAAACATTTTCTCAACAATACTTCTTCTCCAGGATAGACTGTAATATGTGATAATGTAATAATACCCCATAATTGCAGTATCCCCATTGTTCCCACATCACCTTGATGGCAGTGTGGGTGTCCTTGGGTCTTCAAAGACTTTTTTGGAGGATGAGGACTTTTGCTTTGGAGGCTTCAGAAGCTTTGCAACTTACCTACTGAGAAGTGCACCATCCATCTTTCACAGACTGTCAATACTTTTGTTTCATTGCACTAGAGAAGTATTTTTCTACCCTTCAGACCTACCATCCCCTTTCCTATTCTGAAATAAAATTTATAGCTATTAACTACCTATATAGTTTCCAAAATATCAATATATCATCTTAACTATAATATGAAGGAGAAAGAAAAGGCGTCTATAGTAGAATAATATGTATATCGGTGTGTAAATGCTCAGGTGAAATAGATACTTGCAGCTAGCTGTTACTAGAATCACTGCTTACAACAGCTGCAGGTGCAGACTGAGACACGAATGTCGCCTCTGTGAATCTAACACCGTGAATGCCTCAATTTTACTGAAATGAACACTTTCTAATAAAACACAAAGGAAGTAAATTTCCTCAACTTTCCAATAGGTAGCAAAGCTGTGCAAAGTACTTTGTATTTATATGTAAAGTAGTGTTATGTTAGGTTTAGCCTCAGGTAACTGTTAACAGCTTTTTTGAAAATCCGACAGAAGAAGAAACATTGGTTTTTTTGCAGGAATGTCCATTACCCCTGGCCCCCAGTACATTCTAACAGCACCATCCCATCAATACAACAACCAAGAAAACCCTCACAAATTCCCAGAACTCTCCCTAGGAGGTGGTGGTGTTGTAATGAGAGAGCAGCGCCCTGACGAGGGAGTAGTGTAGGATCTGGGCTGAAGCGTGGGCCAGCCACTCCAACACGAAGGCAGTTCCTACTGAGGAGTGTTCACACATGAAGTGTGCAGCTGGATTTTCCTGCAAGGCCCTAAATAAATGAGAAACTGACTCCTCAGTGAACCCAGTGGTGGGGCTCTTGTGTTCCGTTTTCAGCTGAAAGGCAAGTCATTGGCAGAGCCGGATACAGACAGCATCACCACATAGCTCCTGAACTTCTGCACACCTGGTTTCCTGATGAATGTGCCGCAGGTTCACCTCTGCCTCCAGAAGGTTCCCAGTCTGTGAGCAAGGAAGGACCTGTGACACAAGGCCAACTCCTGCACCAGAGTCTCTCTAATCATGCTGTTTAGGGGGACTGTTTACAACTTGTTGCTGCCCTGCCCATGGGCTCCAGATACATTTACAAGAGAGGGTTAAAGGAAAGCTTTAGTGGGGAAACTCAGAGTCCAGAGAACGGCAGAAGATGGGCACAGATCCCGTATCTGCCCATTTTCGTAGCAGAAAGGTTGCTCGAGCCAGGATGCTCTGCTGGCCCTCAGCGTAGGTGCACGTTCCAGGAGAGGGCCTTGCTGCTACTCCTTCCTGTGAGGCCAGTGTAAGAACCACCTTGGCCCTGGGGACAGAGACAGATGGCTTGGTGCCTGGCAGTCTGAATGTGGGGGCAGCTTTTTAACAGGAGTCATCTGGGAAAGCTGGCTGCCTAATACCTGGGGACCTTGAGATCCTTGGGAGGTGTTGGGCCTTCTGCAGAAGGAAGAGGCCTTCTGCAGAAGGAAGAGGCCACCTGTTCTGTGGAAAGCTGAGCTCATATTTTAGATCCTCCTGCTATGAGAAGAATGTTGGCTGGGAGGCTGGTCCCAGCTAGCACATTTTCCAGGCTACCCAGATTGTGTTTCTAAGGTTCTTCTGGTCAAGTCACCTTGTCAAGTTGTGTGAACTTACTCAGTCCTGAGTACTTACTGGGGCTTCATTGCCCTTACGAGGTCTGAGGCAGAGCCAGGTGTCTGGTAACAAGTTCCCCAAGTGATTCTCATGGTACGTGCACAGCCTTCTTCAGCCCTTCAGACACCCACTTTCCGCAGCCCCACTGTGAAAGTTCACACTGCCTTTCCTATAGCTCAGAGTGTTAAGATTGAGCCGAGTGGCTCTGTGTCTCCAGCACCAGTAGCCTGTGTCTGTCATTTCCCACCAGCAGGAACCCCAGCGTGTGGACTGTACTCGTGATCACCCAGGTGGAGGAAGAACAGTGATTGATCCTGGATCTTAGGGAACTAAGAGGGGAGTGACAGAAACGTCTGTCTAGGTGAGTGGCATCATGAAACACCAATGATTAGGAGACGTGTGTTCTAGTCTACGCTCTTGCAGTTGGCTGGGTAACAAGTTTCTTGGCCTGTTTTCTGTCTGTCAAGTGAGCGAGTTGGCCTAGATGAACTCTGTGTTAAACTCTGTTAAAGCTCTGGCAGTCGGTGATTGTAGACCTGTTTAGAAGAATACCTGAAGTAGCTGGAAGAAGGGTTAGCATTTCTGAAACTTTGTTCTCTCTCACTGCCAGGGAAATGGTTGCATCCCACCTCGACAGAGTCATCCTCGCTGTGTGCTTTTGTAGGGGTGTCTTTTCCACATTTGAGTCTCTGCTCTTCAAATCCCTTCCTTTCTCTCACTGACTGTAACTTGCATCTCATTTTACTTTCTAATCCCCACTTGGCATGTCAGCTGGTATACCTGCTCATTTGCATTTTCCCGGCTCAACATATTCCCCACTCACCTTGCCATATTTCTGGCAATATCACCGTGTTCTGTTAAAACTCTGCCTGGTATCTCTTCTGGCCTTACTCCTCTTCCACTGTCCCTTTTTAATTTTCTCCCCATCTAGGTTACTAATGTGCATGAATTGCAAATCAGTTGTCTTTTTCCTGCTGGTTTATTTTCCTTGCTCTCCACCCTATACACAGGTGACAGCTGCACTTTAAATGTCTTTCAGACAGGGAGCTCTGAACTGAACCAAAGCCTCAATACCAATCAGGCTGTTTCTGAAGAACTCCAGTTATCAGGGCAGCAGTGGAAAGCCTCAGAGGGACTTGTGCCCAAGGTCCTATGAATGAATACACCTATAAAAGTGAGGGCCAGCTATCAAAGCAGACAGAATGTCCTATAGAGAAGAAATCTTGTTTTGAGAAAACAGCGATCAGAAAATGTCAATGACTCTCAAGGCGATTTTCATCAGGGAAAGAGGCCCAGAATCCAGTGAACTTACTCTAAACTCAAAACTTACACAGCAGAAAATTCCAAAGGGGGCCAGATCCCCCACATCTAGGGAAAACTCCAAAGATAATTCAGATTCAATGAAACACCAAAAACTCTTCCCACTAAAGAAACCTTGTAAATGTGAAGAATGTGGGAAAGCCTTAAGTTACCAATCTGACTGTTTTGTCCACAGTAGAATTCATGGTGGAGAAAAGCCTTTTGAATGCAATGAATGTGGGAAAACTTTTAGCCGAAGTACACACCTGATTGAACATCAAAGAACACACACTGGAGAGAAACCGTATCAATGCAGTGAGTGTGGGAAAGCTTTCAGCCGGAGTACCCACCTTGGTCTACACCAGAGGACCCACACTGGGGAAAAACCATACGAATGTAGTGAATGTGGAAACGCCTTCAGCCGAAGCACGAACCTTAGTCAACATCAGCGAACTCATACTCAAGAAAAACCGTACAAATGTACTGAATGTGGGAAAGCCTTCAGTGACCGTTCAACCATAATTCAGCATCAACGAATACACACGGGGGAGAACCCCTATGAGTGCAGTGCATGTGGAAAAACTTTCAGCTGGGTCTCATCCCTCAGTGAACATCAGAGAATACACATGGGGGAGAACCCCTATGAGTGCAGGGACTGTAGGAAAGTGTTCACCCGGGGCTCGTCCCTCACTGAACACCAGAGACTCCACACTGGAGAAAAGCCACATGCGTGCAGAGAGTGTGGGAAGGGCTTCGGGCGGAGCTCCTCCCTTGCTGTTCACCAGAGAACTCACACCGGAGAGAAGCCTTACAAGTGTAATGACTGTGGGAAAGCCTTCAGCCAGAGCTCAACACTCATCAGACATCAGCAGCTTCACACCAAGGAGTAATATCTGGGCTCTCATGATGTTAGCACAAGAGCACATCACATCACCTCCTGCCTCTGAAAAGAAAATGCATATGTGTCTGAATTTTCCTTCCCTACTAGCTAGCTTATTATAAGCCAGGTTCAAGCTATCCTGCCTTCCTTTTTCTGAACTGAATGCTCAAATGGGTGATCCATACAAGTTGACTTCAAAAACCTAACATCAGTCTAGTCTGGAGGGTGTCAACCTTAGAGTCTGTTGCTACCTGATACCTTGCATTTCCATTCGTGGGGCTTCGCAACCACATCAGCCCCTTCACTGAGGGAGGAAATCGCCATGCTTGCTGGTTCCAGTCACAGACTTAGAACAAGACAAAGCTTCCTGGCAGCCTGGCGATGATAGTGTTGAGGCAAATTTAGTCTCTGAACTTAAAAGGACAGACTTTTCTCTTCCTTCCTTCCTTCCTTCCTTCCTCCCTCCTTCCCTCCCTCCATTGCTGTAGCCTATTTTCCTCAAAGTATAACCCATATTTCTATTAATATGCCTAATTAATCCTCGTGTTGTATTATCTCATCCTTACCAAGAGTGTCCTAAAACTCTTACAAACATTTAGTTTCTCCATTATCTTGGGATAAAAATGCTGCCCTATTTTTGAAACTTTTCTTTTGTTTACAGTCTTCATGGAACTTGTACCCTCTGGCTCCCAGTCTCACCAGTCTTGCAAAACTGATCTTTCAAGAACAAACTCAGTACCTACGTCTCAGTTCCTACTTGACAGTTGCAGAATTGGCACTTTTGGCCACTCTTATGCCTTAACAGTTGAGTTTCTGGGATCCATGATTCTATACCGACTCACACTTTTCCTACCTCCCAGCATTTCTCTGATTGATGGTGATGAGCTCTGTGACTGGGCAATGTCGGGCCAGAATAATCTCATGTCATTGTGTTACAATGCTTGGTTATTCATTGGGACCGTCAGCTTCTTGAAGACAGAAGTCTTGCTGCAGGCCCCTGAAAAATGTCACAAAGTGCTCGTGGTCATGCAATGCCCTGTGTTTGTCGCTTACTGGCTGATCTCTATCACAGGTAATCAGTCTGCTGGACTTCATTTGAAACAGCTCAATAGTTGATGTCTTTCTCTCCATTCCTACTTCTGCTGGCAAGTCCGTGTAGTTTGGACGTAGAGTACTGGAGGAAACACACTGCTGATGCCCTCGTCTCCGTCTTTATCTAGCTGCCTAACTCTCAACTACCACTTTGTTCAGAAAATGTCCCCAGGAGAAATTCAAGCTGTTTCACTTCAAGGCCTTCAACAGTTGGATGTTTTCTTACTCCGCATTGCTCCCATCTTCTCACACTGGCTTCTTTTCAGGCATGTCCAACTTGATAAAAGGCCCTGCCTCCTCTGTGACACGCTGTCCCCCAGCTTCTTAGAAGTCCTTGGTGGTGATGGTTTGCATTATTGTTTGCACTTCCTTATTCTGGTCTCTGGTTCTTTCAGGTGCCTTTTTCCATAAGCTTTCGGAAGTTAGAAATTGTCTCAAATCTCTTAGAAGCCCCGCTTAATACATACAGCAATACAGTCCTGAGTTTTCATTTTAATCTAAACCAGGAGGGTTTAATAGTGAAGTCGCTTTAGTCTTTTGAGTGGTGCGATAACCTCATAAATATTTTTGTCCTTTTTGTCCTACCTTGAATTATGTATGTTAACACTTGGCACTAACTCCTTTAGAGCTCCTGGTCTCTTGGCTTTCTGTCATGAAACTGTTGCGAGGTTATTCATGTACAGTTATGAAAACAGTGCCTGATGTATATAGTAATTGCTCAATAAACGCTAATTGTTTTGATTCTATGCTTCACATCTGTAGCTTTTCATTTCATCTCATCCCCTGCAGGCTCTGTAACCCCATGACCAGAAATGAAAAACTTGGATCACAATCAAATAAGAAAGAAGATATTCTCCTAACCACTATAATAGGTAATAGCCATCTATTTTACTGTAACTCAATTGTGTGTCAAAAAATGACTGCTTAAAAGAAATGATAAAATAGAAAAGCGAAGACATACACACCAGCACTAGAGGAAGGAGACAGCCTAGCGCGTGGAGAGCAGGACGAGTGAGGGCACACCATCAGTTGTTCATTCTGATGGAGATGCAAGCCAGAGTGAGATGGTCATTGTGTACACTGTGTTTGGAGGGGAAGTGTCAATTCTTTAAGGACAGGGATGCTTTCCTAACAGAGTTGGGATTTCCTTTGGGGAAGGCGGGTGAGCTTTATTTTAAGGAGAAAGGGTCTTCTGATGCAGCCCATGTCAGTGTGACAGCCCACATTTAACGAACGTCTAAGTGCTTCCCTCTTCACTCGGGGCCACATGCAGGGGCTCAGCGTGGGCCTTGTGGGTGGGAAGGGAGGAGGGTGGCGACTTCGTGTGTGTCATTTCCCCCATGTGGCCGCCCCCAAACCCCGCTTTTCCTGCCTCTCTGGGGACAGGGCCGGGCACCGAAGCAAGACAGGCCAAAGGGCCAGGAGCACGTGAATCCGGGGCCAGACTCACGGGGCCCGCTATTGTTTCTTCTCTTTTAAAAACAGTAGCTCAGTAGCTTGCTTACCTTTTAGCTCTGGAGTCTGGTTCTCGATGTTCCTCTGGAGAAAGGAAGTGAATGCAAACGGGCCGGCGCAACGCGAGCAAAGGCGTCGGTAGAGGGCGCAGCAGGGTCGCTGTGTGGATGCTTCAGGTCTGTTGGTTTCTCTGCAACTCGTTGGCTGCACAACACCTGACTAGGCCCTCACCGTTGTAACATTGTTGTAATGCTTTTTGATACGCGGTTTGGAGAGCTGACTAAACTCAATTTAATACTTGGTTTTAAACAAGAGTGTGCGTTGTTGGCGACGCGGGCTAAGTCAGTATACGCATTCCTCAATCCCATTTTCATGCAAACGTTGTGTTGAAATTCTGCTAGTGGTTTTTTGTCTTTCCTGGTATGCTTTAAGTTGTTCTTGCAAACTAACCAGAGGGTGTTGGCTTAATATTTTTAACAATTAAAGACAGAAAAAGGACTGTAGATGGTCAGAAGTCCTGGGTGTTGGAAATCGTGTTGCTGCAGAAGCCCTCTGGCCTAATTCCTAGCTGTTGGCTTTTTATGTAGTTTTGGGAGATGGAGCAGCAGATGGTGATAATTTAACTTCTACTTTCCATCAAAGGAAGGTAACCCATGATGGCTTTTAAAACCTGGTTGTGGGCTGGCTGAGTGGCTCAGCTGGTTAAGAGCTCGCTTGGGAGTTTCAGCTCTGAGCAGCAGGGTCCTGGTTCGGATCCCACATGAGGGCCAGTGATGCTGCGCCCTCTACAACTAAGATGATGAACACAGCTCGACCTGGAGCTGGGCTGCTGTGAGTCACTGTTAGGCTGCAGTGGGCTGCTGTGAGCTACATGAGTGGCTGGCAGCCAGCATGAGTGGCCTGGTAGCCAGTGTGAGCTGCCGGGAGCTGCTGTGAGTGGCCGACCAATGACCAGTGACCAATTGCCTCACCCAGGAAGAGCACAATGATCATACCAACATGGGCCAGTGAAGCAACGTCCTCTACAACTAGACTGAAGAACAAAAACAGCAATTTGTCTACCTGTTCCCCTTCCCCCAATTCTCCAATAAAATCTTCAAAACAAAACACCTGGCTGTGCAAGAAAACAGAAGAGATGGAAAGGAGGGGCAATGAGAGGATCAAATTTAAGGAAAGGGCTGAGCAGGCACAAAGACCCCCAGTCCGTACCTTCTTAGGACATGTAAGAACTTAAAATCAGAATCTGTGACCCCACATTCGGATTTTTTTTACTGAAACTATGAAGCTGCTCACAAGGTATGACCTTGCTTTCCCTGTAGGTTGATAAGCAACACTCTGTACCACAACTGTGTGACCCAAATTCTGTTCTGCAGACTGAACTGAGGCCAGGACATCAATAAATGCTTATTCATCTGTTCCTCTTTGTTCTTATCAAATGACCCCACTTGCTGACCACTGAGGCAGATGAACTGGAGGTCCCTCCAGTTGCCCTCTGCAATCAAAAAATGAATTATGTAAATTTATGACCTTGTTTCCCTAGCAGCCCATCCCTTGCAATTTACATTTTAAAAACCCTGCGCCATTCTCAGATCCTGTTTTCAGGTTGTGTGGAAGGCTATGTTCTCTGCAAATCGTATCAGAAAAAACTTTTAATTTCTTTCTGCAATTTTTGTTTACACTTGTATAATTGTTTCTGAATTTTTATCTCAAAGATCATAAAACAAGTCAAGTCTATTTAAACTTGTTCTCTAGGAAATAATTCAGTTGATAAAACAATGTTCACTTATTAAAAATTATGGCAAATTTAAAACATACAATAAATTAGAGAACAGTATAACAAATTCCCACATGCCCATTGCCAGGACTCAATAATTATTACAGTTTTGCCACATTTTCTTTATTAGTCCCTTTTCTCATCCTTTTATTCTTTTGCTGAGCTATTTTAAATGAAACAGACATCATGTAATTTCATCCCTAGATTATCTCATTATGCATTTCTAAACTCCATGGACAGTTTCTTACATATGCTACTATCATACCTAACAAAATTAACAGTAATCCTTTGGTTGCCCTTTATTTTATAGATGAAACACAATTAGGAGTTAAAAAATATATGAAGCCTGGGTCCCACCCTTAGGCCAATTAAATTACAGTCTCTGGGGGTGGGGCTTGGCAGTAGTTTTATAAAGTTCCCAAAGTAATTCCACTATGCACCTGGGCTTAAATAATGCTTGTTTAAGCTACAGAAGAGAATCTCTAGGTGTAATAAACTAGAATGTTAAAACATACTAGAAGAAAAAGTCATAGGAAAGTTGAATACTTGTACTGAGTTAAGCCGTTATGTTACTGAATTATTCATGTGAGCATATTTTATAATTTCTTTTATTAGGAACCAGTTACTTAAACAACTTAAAAGCATTAGAAGAGCATAATAGTTCTCCAGTCTAGTTACTGAAGCATAAATGCTTTCTATTAGCAAAACATGCATAAATATACACTCTAGATGCAACACGGCAAAGTCTGATGTGTAGTACCCTAGTCAAGAATATACTGTGAATAAAAAAAACCACAACAGTATAAAACTACAAACAGCCTTTGAAATAATCTACTCCAAATCCCCCATTTAAGAGGAAAGTGAAGCTTGAAGCAGTTGAATTTCCCAATGTCACAAAATTGCTTAACAACATAACTGGTTACTTCAGGTCAATGCACTTTCTACTCCATAGCTGAGACTGCAGTTAAAATGGTTTTAAACAGGCCTTGATCTGCTGGAATTTTTCAGTGTCTAAGAGGACAGACTCAAGGAAATGCGCCCCCGATGGTTATGATGCTCCTGGAACAGTCAGATGCCAGGGTGCAGCCTTTCATGTTTGCTGAGAGCAGAGCGGTATCTGAAGGCTTTCCCACAATCGTTACATCCGAAGGGCTTCTCTCCTGAGTGCGCGCTCTGGTGCTGAATGAGGTATGTGCTCTGGCTCACAGTCTTCCTGCGTTCACTACAGGTGTACGGTTTCTCCCCAGTGTGAGTGTTCTGGTGTTCCGTCAGGTGAGTGCTCCGGCTGAAGGCTTTGTCACATTCATTGCACTTATACGGCTTCTCTCCAGTGTGAATTCTTTGATGCTGAGTCAGATGGGAGCTCTGGCTAAAAGCCTTTTCACATTTATTACACTGGTAGGGTTTTTCCTCTGTGTGAGTTTTTTGATGTTGAGCAAGAGATGAACAATGTCGAAAGGCTTTGCCACACTCGGCACACTCGTAAGGCTTTGCTCCCGTGTGAATTCTCTTATGCTGCGTGAGGTGTATGTTTTGGTTGAACGCTCTGCCACACTCACTACACTTGTAGGGTCTTTCTCCAGTATGTATTTTCCGGTGCTGAATAAGGGATGAGCCATAACTGAAGGTTTTCCCACATTCATGACATTGGTAGGGTTTCTCGCCAGTGTGAATTCTTTCGTGTTTAGCAAGAGATGAACTCCGAATAAAGGCTTTCCCACATTCCTTACATTCATAAGCTTTCTCTTGGGTGTGAGTTTTCTGATGTTGATTAAGGTTTGACAGGTAACTGAAAGCCTTCCCACATTCACTGCATTCAAAGGGCTTTTCTCTGGTGTGAATTCTCCGATGCTGAGTCAAGGATGAGCAGTAACTGAAGGCCTTCCCGCATTCATTGCATTTGTATGGTTTTTCTCCAGTATGAATTTTCAGATGTTGAGCAAGGGATGACCAGTAACTAAAGGATTTTCCACATTCAGCACAATCGTAAGGTTTCTCCCCAGTGTGTGTTTTCTGATGCTGAGTGAGGTTTGAGTGCTGACTGAAGGCTTTCCCACACTCACTGCATTCATATGGTTTTTCACCAGTATGAATCATATGATGGCGGATGAATGTGGAGGGCCCATTGAAGGCCTTCCCACATTCATTGCATTTATAGGTTTTTTCTCCAGTATGAATTTTTTGATGTTGAGTAAGGTGAGTGCTCCTGGTGAACGTTTTATCACATTCATCACATTTAAAAGGTTTTTCTCCTGTATGAATTTTCTGATGTTCCATAAAGTGGCCTCTCTGGCTAAAGGCTTTTCCACATTCATTACAAGTATATGGTTTCTCACCAGTATGAATTCTCTGATGCTGAACAAGATGGGTCCTCTGACTAAAGGCTTTCCCACACTCATCACACTTATAGGGTTTTTCTCCAGTGTGAATTCTTTGATGTTGAGTAAGAGATGGACCCTCAATAAAGCCTTTTCCACACTGATCACATTTATATGGTTTATCTCCAGTATGAATTCTTTGATGGTTAATAAGGTTTTCACTCCGGCTGAAGGCTTTCTCGCACTCGTTACATTTGTAGGGTTTTTCTCCAGTATGTGTTCTCTGATGGCGAATAAGTGCTGAACAATAACTAAAAGCTTTCCCACATTCATTGCATTTACAAGATTTCTCTTTTTTAACTGGGTTTAAATTCTGTTTGACGCCTGTTTTAGCAGAGGTCTCTTCTGGAGATAATTCTTGTGGTACAAGGTCTGAACTAATATTGATGCTTTTCTCAAAGTCATGATTTACACGGTCTCCCTCCAAAGTGGGCACCGTCTTTGCAGTTATTTTTATTGCCCCAGGCAGTGTCTGTTCATTTGCTGGCTGCCTTTCTAGACTGCCTTTCGACACTGAAATTTCTGAGAAATCAGAACATTGAGGATTGGCACTTTTGTGTTTCTCTACTACTGCCTCTGGAGCTGGCTCTTTCTCAGAAATGTCCGGCTCTGGGACTGATACTCTATTTTCTGGTCTTGTCTCCCAGTCTGAAAGAAAAAGAAAATGCCAGTGTTCTCTTAATAGAGGGGGCAGGAAACTGCTGTTGTGAAAATGACCTAATGAAACGAAATATAAAGCCCTCAGGAGAGTCTGAGGATGTTCAAAAATATCCCTATTATTTGGGGAGAAATTTGGAAGGAGCTAAGAACAACAACAAATAAATAAAAGATAAAAATATCAAGAGAATAACTCATTCAATTTCATAGATAATCTCTAAAAACCAGTCAGGGAACTCCATTTAAGGTGACAGTTAATTTAAAAAGGTGACACAGAGATGGCTAAGAGGGGACACAGATGAACTGAATCTAGAGGAGACAATCTGAACTCAGATTCCTTGCCCATAAACAATGAAACAAAAATCCAAGAACTCTGAATTCAAGACAGAACAAACAGAAAAGACTTGGCCAAAGCTGCATGGTTTTTATTCTGGAACACTAAAGGAATAGTCATATCACTGCTAAAAATTGGAAAATTATAAACAGTAAAGGAAATAATTTAAGGGGAGGAAGACAATGAGTTCTAGGCATCCTGAGAATTGGGAAGAGAAATGAGGAATATAGTGGTGTTTGTGGGGACGGAAGATGCCAAAAGTGGCAGAATAACCAAGATGTTCAAATATAGGTTAGGAAATATTGGTTCAACAAACGAAAGAATAGCTGAAGCCATAGGAAGGTGCTGAAGCCATAGGAAGGTAAGTGAGAAAAGAAGAGATGGGTGTGAAGAAAGGGATAAATAAATTTACTGATTAAAAAAAAACCAGTTTATCGGCAAACAATAGAAAAAAACAAAAAGAAAAGTAGATAATCAGAAGCAGAGTTATGCTACTCTACTTTCTACTCTGGGGTAGTTTGTCTTGTCCCAAGACAAGGAAGATGACAACTGAGTGAGGCAGGGTAGTCAATGCTGGCAGATTCAGTAAAGAAAATGGGCTGTGTTTAAAACACCACTTCTTTGTTGCACTGGTGACAGGAGGGAAAAGCAGACCCCAGAGAACGCTGAGTATCCTGTGCTGCCAGCCCAGCCACCGTCACGATTGCCGTGAGCAGGAGCAAGGCACAGACCCAGAACTGCCACCATCCTGCCCTACTTGGCACCATGCGGAACAGTGAAGCGAATGTAAGCACAGGCAGCTTCACAACAGTGGTGCTTCTCCAGCAGAGCCAAGAAGATGAAAGCAACACAGGTTTTGGGGAACAGCCAACTGTTCGATATAAGGAATGAATATGTTTTCATTAACAGGAGCAGTACCAAGAAAGATCTATTTGTACAACAGATGGCCACAAAGATTACCTCCGAGAAGCACTTCACAGTGACAGACCGGAGACCAGGGCATCTGGTGCTGTTCAAGGAGAAAAGGCCATGGAAGCAGCTGATCTCCAGCCCTGGCTGGGATTCCAGTTGAAGACAATAAACATTCAACATACTGCAACCTATGTTTGCACTGTCATGTCTTCCATGCAATATGCACAATGTTACCAGACTATGGGGAGGCAAAGAATGAAGGACTGGAGTAAGTTCCAGAAGGCCAGACTGAACAGCACCATAGGGAACTGCACAAAGCAATTCGCACTTTACTACATGCAGAGTCTATGGACACTGAGCCCTGTGCATGGAGAGATAACTGAGTGCTGCCAACCGGGTTGCAAAAGAACGTGGGCCAACAGCACAGCACACGGTCACGATTCTGCACAGCCAGACCACAGGACAGCCTAGAGAAGATGGCAAGAAAGAGGATGAGGGAAATGACGCAGACAGGGCTCAGGGCCTGTGGCCACCTCCGTGGAGGTACCACCACAACTTCAATTACCTGTACAGATGCCTACGAAACTGCAAGTCACGTTTACAGAGATGAAAGCAACCAAGTCATGAGCTAAGAGTAACAGTGCTCCAGATACTGACGCAGGCAGTATGAGGGCTTGCTCACTGAGACTGTCATCATCAGGCCACATGCCAGCAACAAAAAGTAAACAAGGATGGAGTCCAATACTGCAAGTGACTGTCTTCTGCCCACTGACTGAGTCGCTGAACTGTGTATTATCTATGCAACACGGGTGTTTTATTAGTTTTACCTAAATAAATCTCTTTGGTAATGACTAAAGTGTTTTTTTAAAAAACCTAACTTTTCAATACCTATTTAAAATTTTTTTTTAAGATTTTTTTTTAATTGGGGGATTGCGGGGATGGGAACAACACTGGGGAATTGGGGGAAGGGGAACAGACAAGATTTTTTTTTTAATTGGGGGATTGCGGGGATGGGAACAACACTGGGGAATTGGGGGAAGGGGAACAGACAAGTTGCTATCCTTTTGTTCTTCAGTCTAGTTGTGGAGGACGTTGCTTCACTGGCCCAAGTTGGCACCATCATTGCGCTCTTCCCGGGTGAGGCAGATCAGTTGCCGGATTCTGGACGGCCGCTCACAGCGGCTGCTGGCTACAGCGTGGCAACCCACTGCCACAGGGGCTGCAGCCTACGCCATCGCAGGCGACCCACGGCAGCCCAGCTCCAGGTTGAGCTGTTGTTCAGCATCTTAGCTGTGTAGGGCAGTGTCACTGGCCCTTATATGTGGGATCCGAACTGGTGCCCTCTGGCATCCCAAGCCAGTTCTTAACCATCGTGCCACTCGGCTGGCCCTAAATATTTTTAAATTGTTTTTTATCTGCTCAAGTTGGGATTTTTTAAAACTTCATTTTTAATTTGTAATAAAACTTTTTATTTTTAAATTAATAAACTGTAATCATAAATAAAAACCTTATTTAAAAATATTAATTTTATGAATTATGTTCCATTAAACCATATTTTATTCTTTTAAAAAAACCCTTTTATTTAGAAAGACTAAAATGACTGTATGTTAATTTGAACAGCTAGATTGTACAAGAAATGACTTGAAAATTCCCTTTTTGATGTCAACCAAGAGTTGATTCCATTATACATGCTTTGTTCTTTCTTTAGACCTGGAAAAAACATATGATGTTTGAACGAGTGATTTAATCCTCCCTTCCCCATATTTAGAAATCCTTATGATCCCTCAGACAAGTTCTTTCTGGAACAAACTTTCCTCTTCTCCCCCAGCCAGCCCCAGTGGGTTCACCTCGACAGGCTCATGAAACCATATTCTAACAGAAAGATGTTAAAGGTGCAGTATTGAAAAATAAAAAGGACTCGGGCCGGCCGAGTGGTGCATTGGTTAAGAGCTTGCTTGGGACGCCAGCTCTGAGCAGCAGAGCCCCGGTTCAGATCCCATGAGGGCCAGTGATGCTGTGCCCTCTACAGCTAAGATGGTAAACAACAGCTCCACCTGGTGCTGGGCTGCAGTGAGTCACCAGCAATGGCGTAGGCTGCAGTGGGGCTGCAGTGGGCTGCCGTGAACTATGTGAGTGGCTGGCAGCCAGCGTGAGAGGCCGGCAGCTGCTGTGAGCTGCCGGGAGCCGCTGTGAGCAGCTGACCAATGACCGGCGACTGACTGCCTCACCGGGGAAGAGCACAATGATCATACGAACATGGGCCAGTGAAGTGACGTCCTCCACAACTAGACTGAAGAACAAAAAATTTGTCTACCTGTCTGTTCCCCTTCCCCGATTCCTCAATGCTGTTCCCCTCCCCCCAATTCCCCAATAAAATCTTTAAAAAGAAAAAGAAAAAGGACTCACAGTTGGAGGAGAAGTGTTACATTCTGTGCGGCCCTATTGGAAATTCATAATGCCCTACTACATGTTAAAAAAAAACAACCCGAGTGGTGCTCCACTAATAAACTTGCTAAGATGTTAGCTAATCCAGCACTTTCCAAATGTGAACATGGTGCACTTTTTTTCTCCCCACATAAAAACATCCCACTCCCACCTCAGTCACTCTGTGGAGTTTTAGCCCTTACCCAGAGTGAGGACGTTTGCATATTTTTCCAGGGCCTGGTCTTTGAAAATGTCTCTCTGTGCAGTTTGGGAATCAGTGATTTACAAGAAAGTAACATAACTGCAAGTATAGTCTGACCAAGTGACAGGATCCAAAGCCACACACTGAGCTTAGGAAAGGCATGGAGCTCTGCAGAGCTTGGTTGAGAAAGCAAGGTGGCAGACTGGGTGGCAGCCAACTGGAAAAACAGAGCTGAGTAAAGGTACTAGGACTTTATGTTCCGTTTCTGTTTCAAGGTACTAGTGACAGAGCTTGTCAGGGCTGAAAAGTGAGCTCAGGGTCCCAGAGGAGGTGGGAAAAGATGGGATCCAGAGTCCAGGTCAAAGCACCGCCTTTACAAATGGCAGAAGGATATTTCTCTGCAAGGCGTGGAGAGACAGAACATGTGTGGAGGCAGTTAGCGTTCTGACAAAGCACAAGGGGTCCAGATGGCCTCCCAGTTCTCCACAGGAAGCAGGAACATCTCCATTTCAGACAGAAACTCCTCCTATCAGCTGGAGATTAGTCAATGACACTCATGGGCGGGGATCATCACTTACCTGCAAAGCCACCTACTGGAATGTCTGGCTCCACGGTCCAGGGCTCTGTCCCTTGCTCTAGGTGGGAGATTACATCCGGTTTGGAAACCTGGAGTCCTGCTCATGGGAGAGGGAAAAAAAAAGGTACCCGTCTGCAGTAAGGGAGAAGCGCCATATCAGAATTCAGTGTCACCACTGTCTAGGACAGGATGTGTGGGACCAGCCCGATGGGAATGCAGAGCATAGCGGCGTCCATGTTGTAATTCCCAGACAAGTATAATTTGGGAACTGATTTGGGTTCATGAAAATTATTAGTCTGTCTTCCTACTTACTAGGCAAGAAACCTTCCCAAAGCCTTTCAAAATTTAGGAATCTTTGGTTCCTTACTTAACTTAGAGGCAAAATTCGCCTTAGCAGGAGAGAACCCTCCTCCTGCTCCATGCCCCAGGTATTAACTCCGAGAAGTCACCTCACCTATAGAGACCAGATGTGTATAATTCTCCAGTGTCACATCCCTGAATAAATCTCTCTGCACAGGATCCAGCTGTCTCCATTCTTCCTGGGTAAAGTCCACTATCACATCCTTGAAGGTCACTGATTCCTAAAAAACCAAACACATTTCTGCTCATCCATAAAGCTTTACCTAGGAAAGGGGTGAAGTGAGCAATACTGACAGAAAGTACTGAAAAGAGTACAAGAATAGACAAATTTAAAGAGTAATAGCCCCAAATTTCAATAACCCTGTCACGGTAATTGATAAAACAAGTAGACAGAAAATCAACAAATATATCAAGCACTTGAACAACACTATCTACAAACTTGACCAAACAGACATCTGTGGTGTACAGAACAATGGCTCAGCCCAAGATGCCCACATCCTAACCCCTGAAACCCATGCAACCGTTACCTAACATAGTAGGAGGCTGTACAGGTGTGACCAGGTGAAGGACTGAGATGGGGAAATTATCCGGGGTTCTGTGGGTGGGCTCAATGTAATCAGAGTCTTTGTAACAGGGAGGCAAGAAGGTTGGAACAGAGTCAGAGCGAATGTGAAGAGAGAAGACAAGTCCAAGTCAGACAGAGAGGGAGGCATGAAGACGCCACACTTGTGACTTCGAAGATGGAGGACGTAGACACAGACCTGAGAATGCGGGCAGCCTCTTGAAGCTGGAAAAGGCAAGGGAACAGACGGGGCCCTAGACCCTTCAGAGGAATGCAGCCCTGCCAACCCGTCTGGACCTCTAAAATGCTAAGATAACAAATGTGTTGATTTAAGCCACTGAGCTTGTGGTAATTAATTACAGCTGCAATAGAAATCAAATACGTTCACAGAACGTCCCACATGACAACAGCAAAATATACACTCTTTTCAAGTGTTCACTGATTGTTTACCAAGATAGACCATATTCTGGGCAAAAGAACAAGTCTGAATTCAAAAGGACTCAAGTCACACAAAGTATGATCTCGGGCTGTGGATATGTTCATTATCTTGGTTGTGGTGATGGTTTCATGCATGTATATACATGTCAAAACTTACTGAGTTATACACTTTAAATATGTACAGTTTATTGTCACAATATCCCTCAATAAAAAATAAAGTGATACCAGAAGGACTTGAGCTGAAAGTGGGAAGAACTGCGACCAAATGATTAAGTTGTGGGACAGGACGGAAGTGGAGGGGGGAGTCCAAAAGGAAGGGGCCTGATGAAAGGAGGGCTTGGGTTGACTGGAACGACTGTTACGTGTTTGTCTACATTTTCAATCAGTTGTTGGTTTTTCATAAAACAGAATCATATCGATTTCCTTCTGAAAAACCACTAGTGGCCTACAGAATAAAGTCTTCAACTTCTCATCTGGACACTCAAGACCTTTCATATTCAAACCATTTCTTATTCAACCATTTGCCAAAATAAACCATCTCCTTCAAATTTTTCTGAATCCTATGCGACACCTGCTAATTCTTACTTAAGAATCTTTGCTCATAATGTTTTCCATACCCGGAATCCACCCCAGCCCTTCCATCCCACTTGTTCAAATATCCAAACACCACCCATCCTTTGAGAGGTATCGCAAATCCCACATCCTCCACGAAACTCTCCTAACCCTCCGGACAACATGTTTTTTATTCTTTATTTTCCAGGGCACTCATTTCACCTTTTAAAATATTTTCCTATTCTGTTTTTTAGCAGTGATTTTGTCTATTCAAGAAAAGAACCAAGTTTTGTACTCTCATCACTGGAGCATGGCAAGACAAGCAAGAAGCAAGAGTTAGGCTGGGGAGGCAGAGCGAGGAAGGAAGGCCGCCAGGCAGACGGGAGCCCAGAATGAACTGCCAACATTGGTTTTTGGATAAACATACCCCACAGCAAAAGAATATACAATCCCACCCTAAGGACTGACATGGCATTTCAGGGAAGGCCAACTTACCTGAAAATTGGCTGATGGCAGTAGAGTCTGTCCCCCTTGGGGAAGGGCAGATTCTGGAGAGGACTGATCTAGGTTGGAGAGGAGAACCCACAATGAGTCCTGTCCAACTTAGCTGTTCCCGGCAATCCATAAAATCCACTTATTTTTCCATTTGAAAATAACAAAAACTATGCCATTTTCTTTAATTCTCAGAATCCCAAAAAGATCAGGATAACTGTGACTAGGGCCCTGATACTTTCATTGGTAGGCTCTGAAGATAAAGCATTGCTTTCAGATTCACCGTGTTGTCTTTAGATACTGAC